TGGACCTTGAGATTTCTGTCTGGTGCTCCAATGTGGGTCTCTGTCTCTGTCTCCTTTCACCGCTTGATGAAGGTTAATATTCAGGAGGATGCCTATGTTTTTCTTTGGGTTCTCCTTCTTATTTAGCTTCTCTAGGATCACGAATTATAGTCTCAATGTCCTTTATTTATGCAACTGACATCTGCAGAACTACCCTTTTATCTAGTAAAAGCAATGTTCCTCTTGAAGATGCCCCCCTCCCCCATTTTTAAACTAATGTGCAGGCTACCAAAAAGGGCACATTGCAGAATGTCCATTTTATCCATTTTATAATCTGTATTGTTTTCTGTACATATATCATTAATGGGTTTTCAATATTATTTTCATAGAAATATGCCAGTGACAAAGGTTGTGAATACTTGAACTGCCACTACTATTTAAATTCTTCATCAGCCTCCTTTTCTGCTTCTTATATACTCTCTTTGCCTTAGAGTTTCACAAACAAGATAGACTATGATGGATCCAAACAGAAGTGACACTACAGCTTGGCTGCTTTGTGTAGCTCAAGTCTCTGACAAAGAGGCAAGCCAGAATCATGGTGTTAGACATAATAGTCCTGACTAATCAATACTCTGCTTCACAACTTCCTTGGAAGCCCAGAGTGCTGAAGTTTTAGGTGAAAACCACAGATATCACTACATAAAATATGGAGGGGCTCGTTTTTTAAAGAGAGGTTTCTGTTTTTCTAATATTTGGAGCTGGCCAATGAAAGGCTGATAAATTAACTCAAATGTTTGTCATTTTTCTAATAAAGCACAGGGGAATCTACAGTTCTGATGTCTTTGACCTTTTCCCTGGAACATACCAAACCCTAGAAATGTTTCCGCAAACACCTGGAACCTGGTTACTCCACTGCCATGTGACTGACCATGTCCATGCTGGAATGGAAACTACCTACACTGTCTTACCAAATCAAGGTGAATATCCAGGTAGTACCTCTAGGTGTTATGAATGCAATTAAGATTCCTGATTTGTCTAAATACATCTTCCAATATGAAGTCCTTGTGAACTGACAGCCCTGGTGCCTTCTTTCTCTATCTCTAGTGTTGGGCCAGTGGAATATCACTTACTTGCTAGAACGGCATTGGCTGTCTAAGTGTACAAACGGACGCTAACTTTGCACTGTCCTCACACCAAAAGCTAGTATAAAGGAACAATCACATTAGTATTTTAGTTTTTAAACAAGAAAGCAACCGTGACTTATAAATAAAGATTTAGAACTTAATTTCTTTAAGAGAAAACATTAACAATTGTTTTCTCCCACATAGAAGAAGCATAAACCAGCCTAGTGTAATTTCAGTCCTTCTCGTGTTGCCAGGACTGTTTCTAAAGGAACTAGGAAAAGCTAAAATTTAAATTCCTTATTCACATATATAAGTACATACATACACCTAGACACACACACACACACACTCACTTGCATATACAGAGCACAGAAAAATATACAATCTTTTTGTGAATAAATACCAACAAAAGATAAAAAAGCAAAATTCTAGCAATATGGTTGAGAACTGTAGGAACAAAAATGAAAATGTAATTGGAGGAAGTTACATACAGAATATAAAATAATAGAAGCAGTACGAATTTGCTTGCATGTTTATATGTGTGTGCATGTTTGTTTGAGTGCCCATGCATGGGTATGTTTGTATGAGTGTGTGTGTGTGTGTTGTGGTACTTGGGCCGTAAAAGTTGTTACTGGTAATGAACAGCCACCTAAGACTCATAAAACCAAATAAACTGTTGGATTTAACCCCAATAACAAGACCAAGATAAAAAGTCAATGAGTCTGGGAAAAAGAATAAGAAAGTCTCTACATGGGTGGATCTCAACCCATGGGTCGCGAACCCGTTAGGAGGGGTCGAAAGACCCTTTCACAGGGGTCATATAAGATCATTGGACTTGATCGGGGGAGGGGGAGGGAAATGGGAAGCGGTTGTGGGGACGAGGCAGAAATCCTTAATAAATAAATAAATTAAAAAAAAAGATCATTGGAAAACAGATATTTACGTTAAGCTTCATAACAGTAACAAGGTTACAAAGTAGCAATGAAAATAACTTTGATTGGGGTCACAACAACACAAGGAACTGTATTAAAGTGTTGCACCATTATGAAGGCTGAGAACCACTGCTCTAAATAAACAAGCTTGGAGGGCTAGTGAGATTGCTCAGCAGTTAGCAGCACTGGCAGCTCCTCCAGGAGATCAGAGCTCAGATCCCAGCACCCACATGCTCTTAACCCTCTGTAACTCCAGTTCTGAAACTGTAACTCCAGTTCTAGGGACTCTAATGCCCTCTTCTTATCTCTGTGGGTACAACGCATGCAAATGGTATACCAATATACATGTCATGCAGGGAAAATTAACCATACCAAAAAAAGAAAGGAAGAAAAGAAGGGAGGGAAGGAAGGAGGAAGGAAACCAAAAGAAGGGAGAAGACAGAAGGAAGGGAGAAGAAGAAACACTGAAATACTTGAAAACTTGTGTTTGTAAATGATGTAAATGTTTGGAACACTGGATGCTGCCACAGACTGGTCCTGCAAATAGAAACACTGAAGATGGGACTGGAGAGCTGGCTTCAGCGGTTAAGAGCTGTTTTTCCAGAAGTCCAGAGTTCAATTTCCAGCAAACACACATTCGTTCATAACCACCTATAGTGGGATATGATCCCCTCTTCTGGCACAAAGGTATACATGCAGATAGAGCACTCAGATACATTAAATAAATAAATTAAAAATAAAAGAAAGGGCCAAGCAGTAGTGGTGCACACCTTTAATTCCAGCACTTGGGAGGCAGGGGCAGTCAGAATGAGTTCCACAACAGCGAGGACTGTTTCACAGAGACACTCTGTCTCAAGAAAACACACACACACACACACACACACACACACACAAAACAAAACAAAACAAAAAACAAAAACACTGGAGAGACTTCTGTGTCTAACAAACCTGAGGGAAGAGGGAGTGGGAGTTGCTGTATAAGGAGAACATGCATTTAAAACAGAAGGGGGAATTCGACAGCAAATAACCAATAGGAAAGAAGAACATGGGAAATAATCTTTAAAAAACTGACTTTCATAAAAAGAAAAGATATTATATAGGACTGAAAGAATAATGGAAAAAGGTCTGAATTAAACACAGAAAAATACAAATCCATGCTTATCAGTCTATATTATCTTTAAATAAGTTTGATAGAGCTTTGGGGAAAGCTACTCAATTCTACAGCTCAGGAAATTATTGCACAAAAGCATATAGAAATAAATAAATCTTCTGACATTATGTATCAGGTGACAAGTCTCTTCAAGGAAAAATTAATTAATTAAAATAGTGGCTATCTTTTATGTCAAGTCTATATTTCTTTTTCCTTTGTGAAGAAACACATAAAGACCTTCTCCAACACATGTAAAAAGCACTTTTGTTGAACTATGCCTACTCTGTCAGATAATCTTTAGGATACAGACTATAGTGGTAAAGCTGACTTAATTTTAAATTCCTCAAAGCTGCACTATTCTAGCTAAATAGGCAAATCTATTACAATACGATGATGAATATCTAAACACTTTCATTTGCTAGAGTAGAATTTTTTAAACTTTCTTTGGATATAATTTAAAACATAATAAAAAAAGCTGCAAAAGAATTCCCACAGACCTTGAGTTTGAGCTCATCCTGGTCTACAAGAGTTAGTTCCAGGAAGGCTCCAAAGCTTCAGAAAAACCCTGACTTCGAAAAACAGAAACAAACAAACAAACAAACAAACAAGCAAACAAAATCAAACAAAAACCAAGAATTAATCAAAGAAAATACTATTTTAAAAATAGAACATAAGTAAAGCACTTTTAACCATATAAAACACAGCATTTTAAGTAATCATCTTAAAATTTCTTTCTCCTATAGGGACTGAGTCTGGCTGAGAGAAATGAATTGGTGATAAATGAAAGAACAGAACAATGATTCATAACAATGTATGTGTCACTGCTGAATAAAGCATGTGTGCTGGATTGGCTGCAAACAGTTAGCACAAAGTGAAGCCATGCAACTGTTCATTTGTGAGAGAACTGGTATGACTTAAAATGGACAGATCAACATATACCATGGCCTGTATAAGTTCATTGGGTAACAGAATTGCTTCACATAGTCCATTTATACCTGCATTGTTAGGACTTTGTAAAAAAAAAAAAGCCCCAAATAAACAAAAAATATGCCAGAAGCTGTCCTTGCTACCTTCCCAGGATCACAACAAAGTTCACTGAATTGTCTCCAACTCTTGCCTTCTTATCAATCACACTAACAAACCATGCAGCAAAGGGGTGGGGATAAGAGTACAGAAAAATGAGAAAAATAAAGACAGCAAGCTGCATTTTATAGAAATCTGAAAAAAAATTGTCAAAAAAATGCTATCTGGAAATAGAGAAAGATAGAATCCAATAATATTAAATTAAAAAGATAAAATTCAGATAATAAATTAATAATAAATTAAGAAACTGCCAGTAAGAAGACCAAGTCAAGGTTCCAAGGAAATGAGAGAGCAGTTTTGCAGAGCCTTACTGGACTTACAGTTTTAGCAAGGAGCAGACCATACCACAATCTGCCACAAAAGGTTACTAAAAGGGGGCAGTGTCTAAGAGCACCTCCCATACTGAGTGGCTCCAGTTCTAGAGGACCCAATGCCCTCTTCTGGCCTCTTTGGGTACCGGGATGCACACAGTGCACATACATAGACACAAAAAAAAATACACATAAAAATACATTTTCAAAACAAACCAAACAAATCAAACAGTGGTGGGGAACACTTTTAATGCCAGCACTCAGGAGGCAGAGGCAGGTGGATCTCTGTTAGTTTGAGGCCAACCCGGTCTACAGAACTAGTTCCAGGATAGCCAAGGCTTTTATACAGTGAAACTCTGTCTCAAAACAAACAAACAAACAAATGAACAAACATGTGAGTTATTACAAAGAAAAACAAGAACATCATGATAGTTTTTATTTTCTCATATACTGTGGTTGAAAGAATAAGAATGTATATATAAATATATTAGAAAGAAGACCTTGCTTGAAAATATGTGAACTCAACCAGTAAAAGCCAGACAAGTACATTCATCTCATTCTGATAGAAGCATGAGTTTTAAAAGTAGCTCAAAAGCCAAGTATGCAGTCTTTCACTGGAGTGAAACATTACATCATTCTCATACTTAGGGAAAAAAACAAAATAATAGCCCAAGTAGGAAAATCCGTAACAATGAGGATACTGTTTGAACAGCAAGAGAGGCAATTGCACATACTCATACTTGCGATGTATTTTCTTCCTGTTATTCTGGGGTGGACAGGATTGCCATGCTCCCAACACTGAATCCATGGTGTTTCTCACAATAGGACCCTTTGTTCAGCTTTGAAAACACCTGCATGACACTTCATACCTGGAACAATTGGGAGGTTTGCTTAGACTGAGGTTACCACAAGAGTCATACTGAGTTCCAGGCCCACATATGATAGAGAGTAAAAAATTAAAAAATAAAACGAAACACATGTAAAGAGATCTTACATCTTGAAGATTTTTTACATTCTAGACAATTAATTGGGTCAGGTTATAGATTAAGTGAACAGCTACCATTCTTAAGGTAAGCAAGTAACATAAAGCAGCTGCAATACACATTAACACAAAACTCTTCGGGCTCATTTTATCTGGGACTGAGCACTTAAAGTAGAGTCATTATGCACTGCAAAGAATAACTTCAAGGCAGTGACTTCTTCCGGCTGCAAAACAGGAGGTAGGGCAGGAAAAATGCGGCAGCACCATCTTCTGGAAGAACATTCAAGAAATCCCTCAGATCCAGTCCCACAGCAATAACTGACAAGGCTTCTGTTTGTGGGAAAGAAGAATATATGAGTTACAACTAGAAGTCCATTTTCTACAAATTTGCTCTTAATTAATAATACAGAGTTTCTTCAAGTAACAAAATGCTAGAATCATAAATAAAACTCTTTAATCCACATATCGTGACTCCATACTTTCTAATTTCTCCCTTCTAAAGCCTTTCATTTTGTAGTTATCTACTGGAATGAGTTACCAATTCACTGGGAGATTGCTACATTGTTTTAATCAATTTCTACCATTTTCTAATGAGAAATATAATCACATAGATGCTGCTTTTAAAGTTGAGACTGCTGCTAGTGTATAAATATTGTTTGCTAAGACATGAATATCATTCAGTATAAAACATTTTCCTGAATAGGGTCCTCTCAATAATGAGCTTTTCATGTTATTAGTAAGCATATATCATTTGTCATGACCATATACCTTCTAAATAGTAACGTACTCAAGTAAACATTTTCAATATTAAGGAATTTAATTGGGTTGGGAATACTCAGCTGTAGAGCCCTTGTGTAGTGTATACAATTTCCTGGATTCACTCCTCGGCAACAATAAAAGAGCATGTGTAGGTAGATGGTGTGTGGGGGGATGCCAAACATTTTTAAAAAAGATAATTATGAATTTTATGTTTCTATTACTTCTTAGTTGGTGATGCCCTATCATAGAAACAATAACTTCAGAGAGCTGAGTAGATAGGTCAGTTGGTGTAGTGCTTGCCACACAAGCTTGAGGACCTAAATTCAATCCCCAGAACCCATGTAAAAGAAAGCTAGACATTGCTGCATTCCTGTAGTCCCAGACTAGGGAATGCAAAGACAGGTAGATCACTGCAGCTCACTGGTCAGCCAGTTTAGCCTGACTGGTTAGCTGAGGAACAATGACCAAGACTGACCTTTGCCATGTACATATAGATGCACACATTTCATCATTCTACAAAAATGAATAAATAACAAGAATGAACAGTATTTCTGGGAAGATATTTCCTTCCTCCTCTTTACCCATACTCCAGCATCATCTCCTGTGTGTTCCTTACCCATTTGCAGGACTACTGTACAAGCCCCTCTATCATCTGCCAATTTAAATCATCCTTCATACAATGGGATGGCCAGTCCTATCACTGAGAAGTTAAAGAACTATGCAACAGGGACACATGGGAAGGACTTTTCGTTGTTCAACCAGATACACCTAGAACAGATGGGTACTCTTCAATGTACATGCCGCGTGACTTTAAATATGGGGCTTGGAAATATGACTCAATGGCTAAGAGCATTTGCCGTTCTTCCAGAGTACCTTAGTTTAGGTTGCCAGCACCCATGTCAGGTGTCACAAAATCCTGTAACCCCAGTTCTAGATTTGTCACCTCAGGTCTCTGAGGCCACCTGTACTCATGTGCACACACTCACATGGAGACACACATACCCCTTCTTAGGTTACCTGCGCTAATGTGCACACACCCATACACACACACACCTTCTGAGGTCACCTGCCCTCATGTGCACACACACACACCCACATGTAGACACACATACACACACACATACCTTTTGAGATCAAACCCATATACAGATAAAACTATATTATTTAGAATAATAAAAATAAATCTTACAAAAAGTTACTGAGTCTTCAAAGCGAGTATCTTCATCTACAGCATACCTGGGTACCATCTGCTAGTTTCCAGTGTTCTTTGAGAATGATAATAGGATACTTCTCTAATCTACGAGATGATCCTAATAAACAGCAACCACTAACTAGCTTACAGAATTCATATGAAACACCTAAATTGCTATTAATTTCCTATCAACCATGTTTACTTACCTAAACATAGAGACTATAAGTAGTAGCCTAGACATAAGAACTTTTACTTGGGGTAAGGACAGAGCAGTTACAAAGTTAGTAAAAATATCACCACTGTTCAATTCTCTTCTGTCACCAGTGAGGCCTTAATATAAATTATAACTCTAAGAATGAAGCCAACACCTTAAATCTGTACAGTATTTTAAAAACTTCTCCTAACCTCTCATTTGGTTTCCCTTCCTAAATCCCTTAATGTTTTTGTTTATTTAATCCAAAGAGAATATACTAACAGTTATGGTGTGTGGTTCAGTTAGAGAAAATGAAGATAAGAAAATATTAAAATGGGGCAGAGGGTGATTGAGATGTCTCAGCAGGTAAGAAGTATGTGACCTTGTAGTGGGAGGCCGCTTGTTGGTTCCCGGGTGTTCAGCCCCAAAATAATCACACAGAAACTGTATGAATTAAATCACTGGTTGGCCCATTGGCTCTTGACTTCAATCCTCAGAACTACAAAAAGGTAGAAAAAGAGAACCAAGTCCAAAGTTGTTTTCTGATCACCACATGTGCGTCATAGCATATCAACATGTGTGCACATACATGAGCAATAAATAAACAAATATAATATAAAAATGTAGGCTGTGAATGTGGCTCAGAGGGAAAAGTACTTGCCATGAGAACACAACAACCAAGAACCTCACATAAAACTCCAGGTGTGCTTGGTCGTCCATCTGTAATTTTATTGTGTGGGAATCAGGAGACAGGGAATTCCCAGAGCAAGCTAGTCATAGTAGCAAATACAAAAGGCTTCAGATGCAAAGAGAGACCCTGTCTCAATTTGTAAGGTGGGCAGTGATCCAGGAAAATACTTGATGTCAACATGAAATCTTTGCAGATGCCTACATATGCATGTGTGTCCAAACACCTGCACATATGTGCATACCACACATATAACTAAGCACACACAAAAATATTACTCGCCTTTATTCTACTATTCAGTTATGAGATCATCTAGGAATGATCCAGAAAGAAGTAAATCAACCTGGGCAGTGGTTATGTCTGCCTTTAATTCCAGCATTCGGGAGGCAAAGGTAGGCAGGCCTCTGTGAGTTCACGGCCTGCCTGATCTACAAGAGCTAGTTCCAGGACAGGTTTCAAAGCTACAGAGAAACCCTGTCTTGAAAAACCAAAAAAAAAAAAAAAAAAAAAAAAAAAAAAAACCAACCAAACCAAAAAAAAGTAAATCTACATACTTAAAATACCCCAGTATATCTTAAATACGTTTACCAAACATTAAAAGTTAATTTCACTGTCAAAATTTTGAATGACTTTTAAAACCTTATTTTTACAATATGTTACAATATTAGATGTTTTTAAAAATAAAAGTAGTGGACTAGAGAAATGACTCAGTGGTTAAGAACACTGGTTGATCTTGTAGGGGACCTGGGTTTCATTCCCAGTACCCACATGGCAGCTCACTGTTGTCTGTTACTACAATTCCATGGGAGTTGATGCACTTTTATTGCTCTCTGAGGGCAGCAGGCATATACATGATGCATATACATACACAAAGACCAAACACTCATACACCTAAAAATATGCAAACAAAAATTAATTAAAAAATAATAGTTCATTATTTCAAAATAATTAACAAATTTTTCCTTAAATAATCCACCTATTCACTGTCATTTCAATAGTTCTGCATTAGTGCACTGGTTCTCAACTAGGATAATTCTGTCCTCAGGTGACACCTGGCAGCATCTGGAGACACTTGTATCTGTCATAACTGGGGTGGTGGTGATACAGGTAGGAGACAAAGATGCTGACTAGCATTCTTAATGGGATGGGGAGGAACCCTTCTCAACACAGATAATTTTCCAAAGCTAAATGAAAAGTTCAAAAAATAATATCACAGTCGAAAGATTTTTCCTAAATGTCTTGTGTAAGTCCCTGTCCATCATCTTCAACCTGATCTTTATGTAAGTTTACTCAATATTGTCCTCTAGAGTCAGTTAAGAACTTCTCGTTAACTAACAATATTTAAAAACTGGATTGTATATGGCAGACCTGGAACTCAGTTCCAATTCCAAAGAATCTACTCCTGAGTTCTTCTCAGTGGTCTATAGCTGCCAACAGGAAGACCTCAAAGAAATGAAACTCCATCAACAAAGAGCCACAGATCCTTCCCTACAGGGGCTCAATGCTGATAAGGAGGCTGTACCACAAAAAAAGAATAAAACTCTATGCCAGCTCTTGAGATACTGCAGTCTAAAAATAGTAAATCACACAGAATATTTGGTGTTTGTTTTAGCAGCTTATGAATTATAAAAACCCAACTATTCCAAAGCTACAGAAAACTGGAATTTACATGTTCAAGGTGTAAATCGTTGAAGAACAATAAGTTTTTCAATACTTACAATTTGTTTGCTAAACTTAATTTCCTACATGAAGCAAATTGAAAAGCAAAACTTCTAAACTTCTGTAATATTTTAAATATTGGAATTTCCATGAAAATAATAAACTAAAAGTTTAGAAATGTTAACTTCATAGAACATCAACTCTGTGGCTATAGATGATGAGTTAGAATCAAGTGTGAGGGGCAACATGAAAGCTGAAAACACTTCAGATGGCTTCTGGGACTTTTGTACCCCACTTAATATCATGGAGACAAACAAGAACTTGTCCTACTTAAAACTGAGAGTAAAATTCATAACCATCAAAAAAGAGAATTTTAATTTTACCTTTTAAAGACGATAGATAAAGTTGGTGCTTCTCTCCACCACACTTGACTTTCTGACAGAGATCCGGCAGCAGTTTTTTCCACCACAGAACCTATTTTTAGGGGGAATGAAGACATTTTAGTATGCTGCATCTAATCCTCAGATTTTTAATGAAAGAAAGAAGGCCATGCAAGAGAGCAAAGAGGAAAATGTATCCTTTGGCCTCCTTTGGTCACGGCATCACCTCTGTTGCAACAAGAGCTTTATCAGCAGCTAGGCTTCTGATGAAACTCAAACAGAAGGGAAAGCCTTTGACTTGAGGTACACATGCACACATTCCTTTTCAAGGAAAAACATAGATATGTCCTTTTATCTTGGTTGGCAAAAAGAAATGAAAAAAGTGCTAAAGCTAAAACTCTATTAATTGCTAAATCAAAAACCAAATACAGGGAAGGTGTATCCCCCAGCCACACACATGTTGCCCTGCCCTTTAAGTACTCACTGATCTCATCTGGAAATAAGGGCTCTTTAAAGATGAGATAGACCATCCCCATGCATTTTAATAGCACCTAAAAGTCCTGAAAGTTCTTTGGACATACAATCCAGTAAAACTATACTAAAATTAACAGTCCTCATTTTGTAGATAAGTCAACACAATTACCCAATCTTATCATCATGGACCAAGACTAGGAACACCATCTGAAATGCATACCCAATGTTCTTCTCTCAGTTCCTGATTAGCATATGCAATGACTGCCTCCGGGCATCTCTCTAGCAACGTGTCTATGCATTGTTCATACTCTTGTAATCTTGTATGGCACAGAACATGAGCACTGAGGCCAGCAACAGTATCTTCTGAGAGCAGCTCCAGAAATGGAATAATGGAACTTACGTCAAATGAAGGGCCACAAATGAGAGACTATGAACAGAAAAGTGAAATATTATGGAACGAAGCACCCCAAATTAAAATACAACATACAGCATTTTTTAAAATGATAAAATCCCACTTTGACAAAAAAAGAAAGAAAATGCAATTTTAGAGAGCAGGAATTGGCCCTGAAATACTTGTACTGAAGTGCTAAATAATCTTAAATTTAGCTCTAGTTTTTTTTTTTAAAAAAAGTCTGTGTAGTAAAAAGCAATCATCTTTAATTAGAACTCTATCCTACGGATATGCCCAACATGTGGTCAGGGATTTATGCTCCATAATGCTTTGCATGGGTACTTGTAACACTGAAAGCCCGTGGGTGGCTGCATGTCCAACAAGAAAGAATGACATTAATAAACTATGGCACATACCTTATGGAACATCACAGAATTGCCAAAATTATATTTCCAAAGGTCAGTTAAGGAGGACAAAACTGAGTCAAAATGTCTTGAGGCAAAATTGTACACAAAGCATGACTAATGCTGTAAAATCCACACAGTGTACAAAACCTTTATAGGAAGATATTTGGCAGAGTACTGCAGTTTGAAGCAGAGATTAGCTTAACAAATGAGGAGGTGGGACAAAGCCCTGTTTTGTTTTATTTTCTTATAACATTTCCTTGTCTTTTCCAAAATTTCAATAAGAAGCATATAAAATGAGTGTACGTGTGGTGGGTGTGTAGGTGTAACTGTCACTGTAACACATATGAAACTCAATGATTAACTGCCTTTATTAGTTTGGTCTGCAGCATGTCTATGAGGTAATGTCTTCATAGAACTAGAGAAGGCTCTACTTCACTATGGGCAAGATGGACAACACTGTTCCCTGGGCAACTGGTCCCGGACTGTATCAGAAAGCCAGCTAAACATGAGCATAGGACAAATTAGAGAGGAACATCCATCATGGTTTCTGTTGTGTTTCCTTGACTCTAAGTGAGTTCCCTGATCGAAGGCAATGTTGCATAGAATAACTAGCAGGAAGTCCTGCCTTCAGGCTCCTGTTGAACTTCTTCCTTATCTTCCATCCACTGTGATCTAGAAGTATAAATCAAATAAACATTCTCCTGTCCTAAGTTGATTTTGGTGTTTTCATAGCAACAGGATCAAACTAGAACAGTAACCACAAAGAAAATTGAATATATTTTTTAAAAGTGATTGTGGGATGGGTAGATGGCTGGGCAGGTATGCAAATATGCCACCAAAGCCTGATGACCTGAGTTTATTCTCTGGGACCCAGATAATAGGAGAGAACTGAGTCCCCCAAGTTTTCCTCTAAGTTAGACATATACTGTGGCATGTATCTCACTGCTCCCCCGATAGAAACAGTAATTCTTTTTAAAGGGACTATTTAGAACCTAGTCATTTGTATCAACACCACCTGGCACACAGAAAATGACGAGCACAAGCAGTACTTCAATATTCATAGATTTACTAGTTTTTCCTTTCAAGCAACCTTTTTACTCTTAAATTCTATAGCATTTTTTTATTCTACCATCAAAATAATTTCTATTTTGTCTTTTCCTATTAAGAGATATAGTTATGGCTTAATTTCTTTCACTCTATCTTCTTTTGCTACAGCATCTTCTCAGAGTTACAGGACAATCTGGAACATCTACTATACATTCTTAATCAGCATGATTATTTTATTCCAGATGTCTACCAAGGAGTGGCCAGGAAAATAAGGTTGGTATCTTTTCTTACCAAGCTGAATAATTTCCTGGCACTAAGATAGCAAAGATGAAATAAAGTAAGACTCTTCCACTCACAGTATCTCCCAACATACAAGGAGGCACAAGTTGCTTCTCTCCTGACTCTTGATTAAACAGGATTATGGGTGTGGCAGGAAGAGGAAAAGCATGGGTACCAAACCAGAGGTGAAATGAAACTAGTCAGGGAAGCACAACATGGGTTACTTGTAAAGTTTTACTTCCTTTTAGCTATATTGCTAAGAATTTAAAAGTCAGTATAATAAGCAACACTAAGCTATACTTAATCAGGCATGCCCCAGCACTGAGAGATGAAGTCTCAGCCAGGTGTAGCATCGTACCCTATACATCCAGTTGTAGTGATATTTCCCTTGTATTTTAATAAATAAAACTTGCCTGAGGATCTGAAAAGTAAAAGAGCCATACTGGCCACCCTTATAGACCAGGCAGCAATAAAACACACCTTTAATCCCAGTAGACTCACTAGTTTGCCACAGAAACTAGGCAGTAGTGGTACACACCTTTAATCCCAGAACTAGAGAGGATTATAAAATGGGAGGAGACAACTCTCAGAAACAGTTTTATTCTGAGATTCCTGGAGGCAGGATCACCATTGCAGACTAAGGTCTAGATAAGAGTCAGTGGTTGGCTATCTTGCTTTTCTGACCTTCAGGTTGAACCCAATTTCTCTTTCTGAGTTTTCATTAATTATGCTACATCCAGCACTGAGATATGAAGGCTCAGCCAGGTATGTCATCAAACCCTATAAACCCAGCACTGAGAGATGAAGTTCACTGTGGGCAAGATGGGCAACACTGTTCCCTGGGCAACTGGTCCTGGACTGTATCAGAAAGCCAGCTAAACATGAGCATAGGACAAATTAGAGAGGAACATCCATCATGGTTTCTGTTGTGTTTCCTTGACTCTAAGTGAGTTCCCTGATCGAAGGCAATGTTGCATAGAATAACTAGCAGGAAGTCCTGCCTTCAGGCTCCTGTTGAACTTCTTCCTTATCTTCCATCCACTGTGATCTAGAAGTATAAATCAAATAAACATTCTCCTGTCCTAAGTTGATTTTGGTGTTTTCATAGCAACAGGATCAAACTAGAACAGTAACCACAAAGAAAATTGAATATATTTTTTAAAAGTGATTGTGGGATGGGTAGATGGCTGGGCAGGTATGCAAATATGCCACCAAAGCCTGATGACCTGAGTTTATTCTCTGGGACCCAGATAATAGGAGCCAGGTGTGGTGGCATCATACTCTATAAACCTTTTACTGAGAGAGGCAGTATTGAAGAGCCCAGAATTTGGTGGCACCGTGAATCACACAGTGAATTTCAGGTTAACCTGCCCACAAAATGAGACACTATCTCAAATAAATAAATACTCACCAAAACTTCTATCACTGGACTAAAAATGGCCAAAGATCACTGTTACTCTGTAAAATCCTGTTGAGATTGGTTTCTTAGACATCTTCATTTTTTTTTCAGAACTAGAAATCGACTCCACCTCCCTTCTTAACACATACACTATTTATTACTTTCTCCTACCAAGATCTCTCTGCCTCAACTCTGATTTGGTAGATTTCTCTGATTCTCTATTTTTACAGGCAAGTACATGGGGAGGTGGTATAGAAGGGGTAGGAACCAGGACAACCTGGAAAAAGAGCAAGGTATTCACTAGTCAGTGTTCTCTCTAACCTATCAACAACTTTCAGATTTTATACTAATTATTACACAAATATGCCCTATAGTAACTAAGGACAACAGACAAACATACCAACCCACTGGGGGTGGGGAAATAGCCACAATTTGGAAATGCTGTCTGGTGATTCTAAACCTCCAACCTCCTAAATGGGAGCCAAAGAAAGCCTTTGGGAGCTCTGATGGTCATGTTTTTATTAATGGCTGAGATTACCTGATCTATGGATAATTGAGAAAGAAGCATAACTAGGGAAAAATTTAGAAAAGTTTAATCAGTATATTTCTTTATCTTTAAAAACAAAAATTCCAAGAAAAGGAAAATTGGGGACATTGTGAGAAGAGAAATCTATGAAGCACAGGCACAGATGAGAGAAAAGAATCACATATCAATGGCATAGAATAGATTTTTAATATAATTATCGAAAACTCCCCAAACTAAGGAAAGACACAACAATACAGATATAAGAAGCACCCAGAACACCAAATAGGACCAGAGAAGAAATTCTCCATGGAACATCAAATGAAAACACTAAATGTACAAAACAAAGAAGATGCGAGAAAAAAGCCAGAAGAGTGCAGTGCACCCAAAGACCACAGTCGCCAACCTGACTGCTGGCAAAGCCCAGGAAAACTCTCTGCCATAAGAAAAAGAGAAAGAAAAACTTTTCATGCTATAAATAAGAGAAAAGAATTATTGTCCACCAAGCTATCCCCTAGAGAATACTAGAAGCAATACTTTGTCCTGAAGAGTATAAGTAAATTCAAGATGCCACATAAAGAAACAAATGAAGTCATCTCTACAGAAACACCAAATAGGACAAATAACACAGAGAAAAAAATAGAACAAAATGATAGCAATGAAGAAACTCTTTTCAATACTAAGTATTGGCTTTAATTTCTCAGTCAAACGAGAAAGTTTAATTGAATGGAATAAGTAAAAGAAAAAATCCATCTTTTGTTGCCTACAGGGATTTTAAATGATCACTGAATTATATCTTTGACTGTGATCATAAATGTGCTTTGAAGTTTTATCAATAGAAATTTCACAGCATAGTACAATTACAATTTTAATGACATCACTGCTCTGTGTGTTCTGGGAGGACAAGGCCCAAAGCTACCTACTACACTTGTACAACTCATTCTCAGACAGTAGCTATAAAATGAACAAATGAGCGGCTAACATGGGAGTTTCAGTATCACACAGAACCTAAAAATAAGAGACAGTGAAAGAATCTTCTTTGGTGATAGATTGTTGTGGTTAACTAACAAATTAATGAGGCTGAACTTGTATCCTTCTGCCTCATCCTCCTCAGTGCCAAATTACAGGCATAGGCCACCATGCTCAACTCTGGTGATTTAACAGAAGGATGTAGGCCACACAGCCTGAAGTCTGAGCCTAAAGATCTAGCCTCTTGACTTTCCTTCCCTAGCCCATCCCCAACTCAACAGCTGGCTCTAAAATTAATAATAATCACGTTGACACCAATTCCCAAAGTTTATATCAAGAATTTTATACTCAAAAGCGTAAAGGTATCAAGCAGAATGAAAATCCATAAAGGCCATTCATTGGGTATAAGGAAACACATGCAACACATCCTTTAGCATCTGGATGTGAAGCCACAGAGAAGAGAGCTGTGCGGACAGCACAGGCTCACAAGAGAGCTACTCGCATCAGGCCTCGGGAGTCATGGAGGGCAAGGATGGTCAATGAGCCTGAATTTATCAAGAGTATCTGTGAATTTAGAGAATCCCTAATATGAAATAGTGATTGTTATATATAGCCAGCTACAGTGACTAAACCAAACAAAAGAAAGGCAAAAGTTATATTTGGTCTTTGGATCAATAAGCAGCATTAAAAGATATACATAGCCAGACCTACCACAGCACATGCAGAAACAGTTACAGTCAGAATTCCTGTACATCAATTGTGTCCCACAATTCTTTAGAAAAATTCTCTTCTGGGGTGAGATAAACTGGCTATGTGAACATATTTTTCATAAGACAGATGGTAGTGGTAGCTTGGGTAAGAAGTTTAAATTTTGTTAGGCCACATTAAACAAAATTCAGGCTTACAAAGCATCCCTATATTTATACACTTTTATTTCTCACAGGTGTTTTCAGCCTAAAAACGAGGACAGTTGCACAGTGTCGAATCTTACCCATTACCTGCAGTGAGACCAGCTTCTCAGCTTAGACGCCACATGTGTCCGTGATTCTAGGCAGAAGCCTATAGATTCTTGCCCCCAAAAGCTATATTCTAAATTAACAAGCCATTTGATATCACATTATATTTAAATTGTATATTATAGTATATTGCATATTTAAAAAATAAAAGAGACATTTTTTTACCTGTAATTTCAAAAGGTCTTCTGTGTAATTTTTATCGGCTAAGGAATCAGATGATGTTAAGACATGAACCCATGGATAGACTAAGCCAAAATGACTGCAGGCATTTATCTGAAACATTACAGAAATGCATCACAAGTCAAAAATAACAGGAAAACAAACAATTTCTTCATCCACTCATTAAAATCCTATGCCACATCTCAGACTCAGTTACATACTCTCCTGGGGGAAAAAAGACTTTTAGAATGTCTTTCCCTGGAAAAGGTTGCAGTCTCATTGCTTCCACACCAAATAATTTGCAATAACTATTTCCTAACATTTTGAAATTTAAAAATATTCAACAGAAGTGCTTTCTAGAAACAAAGAATAACACTGTTCTTAAGACAATTATATTCACCAGGTGTTAGGGGTGCATGCCTTTAATCCCAGCACTGAGGAGGAGAGATAGGTGGATCTCTGTGAGTTTGAGCCCACAGAGTTTGAAGTCTACAGAGCTAATTCCAGGACAGCGACGGCTGTTGCACAGAGAAATCCTGTCTCAACAACAACAACAACAACAACAAAAAAACCCATGTATTTAAAAAGAATTAAAGGTAACGGTGGAAATGAGTTTTATTTATATCGTTTAGGGATTACAAAGCATCCCTGTAAGGTCTTGATATGATCCCATTGAGTACCCTTTGTCTAAGACATGATACTGGTAACCTTTTCAGTCACTGCAGAGTAAGCACAGCAGTCACGAAGACTGGGCTGAAAGAAGAAAACAGGGTAGGATGGGGAGCAAGGGCTGCTACAACTGCCCAAAACACACCTAAAGCTGAGTGTGCCCCTGACAGGAGACAGAAGCACAGTGCTGCTGCCCCTTGCCTCAGGCCTTCCAAAATTCTTCAGAGAGGCCCCCCTTTACTCAGTCCTCCACTAACAAGTACAGGTGAGGTAGTGCTCTGGGAAACATCCTTCACATGCTGTGGCACTGCACGGGGGAACAGAGGACTACAGGAGCATTCATTATTTTAAGCGTGTGAAATTTGAGTAGGGTCCCTGTGGGACCTGGCTGGCCTGGAATTCCCTTTGTAGATCAGGCTGTCTCAGACCTTATAGACATCTACCTTCCTCTGCCTCCTGAGTAATAGGGTTAAAGGTGTGTGCCGTGACACCTGGCTTCTAGGGGGTAGTCTTTAAATTTTATTTATTTTGTGTGTGTGTGTGTTTGTGTGTGCTATGGGTGTACGCTTGTGGGTGTACTGAAACACATGTAGAGATTTGAAAACAACTTTCAGGAGTCAGTTCTCTCCTACTGTGAATCCCAAATATGGAGCTTAGGCCTTAGATGAAACTTGGCAGAAAGGGCCTTTACTTGATAAGCCATCTTAGCTGTCCAAGGTGATGCTCTTTAGAATGGGAAAGTATGTAAAATGTGGGTAACTTCAGGTACATTCTAAGCATTAAACACAAGGTGGAGGCTAGAAAGATAGCCTCAGTAGGCAATGTGTTTATGTCACAAGAATGAAGACCTGAATTTTGAGTACTAGAACCGACAAAAATGTCAGGTATGACAGTACACATTTGTAATCTCAATGGTGAGGAAGCAGAAGGGAAGATTCTTGGGGCTCTCATGTTAACTAGTACAGCCTAATTCATAGTGTGTAGGTCAATTAGAGACTTTGTTGCAAAAGAAATGCACAGAGTTCCTGAGAATAATTCCTGAGAGTGACCTTTAGGCTCTGCACGCAGCATCTGATCTCTCTTTCTAGCTTTCTCTCTCAAAAATAAAACAAAACAGTGGAGCTGATCTACTGGGAGCTCACCAAGGCCAGCTGGACTGTGACTGAAAAAGCATGGGATAAAACTGGACTCTCTGAGCATGGCGAACAATGAGGGCTGATGAGACGCCAAGGACAATGACATGGGGTTTTTATCCTACTTAATGTGCTGGCTTTGTGGGAGCCTAGCCAGTTTGGATGTTCACCTTCCTAGATATGGACGGATGGGGGAGGACCTAGGACTTACCACAGGGCAGGGAACCCGGACTGCTCTTTGGACTGGAGAGGGAGGGGGGAGAGGAGTGGGGGGAGGGGGAGAAGAGTGGGAGGAGGGGGAGAAGGGTGGGAGGAGGGGGAGGGAAATGGGAGGCTGGGAGGAGGTGGAAACTTGTTTTTTTTTATTAAAAATTTTAATAAAAAAGAAAAAATAAAAAAAAATAAAACAAAAGTAAGAACACATTATTGCAGCATGCAGCGTATGCATTTAAGGCACTATTTCATTATCTTACCAAATCCTCTGCTGTTCTCAGTGGTATGGTATCAGGGCATTGCCTCCTAGATATCCTCCAGATGTACTGAGTAGTAAGCTTGAAGAAGAGGTCCTGAAGAACCATGTTGGGGAGACAAGCTACAAGCTGAGCCTCCCAGAAGTCTACCAAAAGCTGAGGAATTGTGTCTTCATCCTTTCCACACAGGACCTTGAAAACAGGGTACCTCACATAAATCCTGAGCCAGATGTGAAACAGAGCTATTGCTCAACCATGTGGTCGCGTAGCTTATAAATTTGGCTTGACTGCCATGGCAAGAGCAAAGATATAGATATATTCTAGGTTCTGTGCATGAACATTCTGCAGACACATTCTTTTAATCTGTATATTTACATTACAAACTGATTATACAGAAGTCTGTCCTCTGGAGATAGAGACAGAGACCCACATTGGAGCACTGGACTGAGCTCCCAAGGTCCAAATGAGGAGCAGAAGGAGGGAGAACATGAGCAAGGAAATCAGGACTGCGAGGGGTGCGCCCACCCACTGTGATGGTGGGGATGATCTAATGGGAGCTCACCAAGGCCAGCTGTACTGGGACTGATGGATCATGTGATCAAACCGGACTCTGTGAACGTGGCTGACAAGGAGGGCTGACTGAGAAGCCAAGGACAATGGCACTGGGTTTTGATTCTACTGCATATACTGGCTTTGTAAGAACCTAGTCTGTTTGGATGCTCACCTTCCTAGACCTGGATGGAGGGGGGAAGACCTTGGACTTCCCACAGGACAGGGAACCCTGACTGCTCTTTGGACTGGAGAGGGAGGGGGAGAGAAGTTGGGGGAGGGGGAGGGAAATGGGAGGAGGTGAAAATTTTTAATAATAATAATAATTATAATAATAAAAAGCACATAAAAGAAGTCTGTCCTTTCAAAGACAAATGAAATTCACTTCAGTTCTATTCTTTACTCTCCTTTGGTTTCTATCAGGTCATTCAGAGAAATTATATTTTTAACTGGACAAACCTTAAAAAAAGAATCTGCTTCTTCAATTCCAATTTTACCATTTTTCTGTAAGCCCAGGACTGAAGCCAGAAGCAATCCAGGCTGAGTTTCCTTCAAGTGAATTGCAAGCTCAGTAGGAACAATCTGTCCTTTCCAGTGTTGAATCAACAGCCGAGGTTCCAGAATGAAGCCGTACAGCAGCTTCACCTTCAGGTTCAGAAAGAAATGTTGAAATGAAGTGCACGTGACTCAGTTCACATGTATATCCCAATGCACACATCTGGGGAAAGTTGTTAACACTTTATTTCCATTCTTATCCTCTTGTCCCAAAAAGGAGATTATTAGCTGTCTTATGTAAATAATTTATAGAGAACTAAACTTAGAGATATTCTATTTTGTAAAGAATTTTAGATTAGGAATATATATGATTCTCAAAATTATGTAAAGAAAACTCTGATTTTCAGAATTCTACTCATTTCCAAGCAGATGCCCTAGGGCTGACTTCTTCTCCTAGCAAATTGTCTCCTGGTATAATGATTTCTTTCCCCTGTTTTAGAAGACATGTTTATACTGGAAACATTTGACCAAGCAGGCAACAATAACAACAAGGCCCAGGCTCTAAAGTCACCTTGATAGTTCAAGATGACCAACTGTGCAATCAGAAACAAATAATTTCAGCTCTGGGTCTCAGGGCTCTCGTGTGTAAGCAGTTGTGACAACACTGATATCAGCACTAAACGAGAATGAAATGAAATACTCCATGCAAGCAATTTAGACTAGGCCTAGGAAACGAGTGCAAAATTATCCTTCATCCCCATCTTTGGCCTCTGTCCTAAATGATCCCTCTTTCTAAATAAATAAATAAATAAATAAATAACCTTTCTTCCTTTGGTGCACCATTTAAATATCCACTAGTCCATGGTGTCACTTGTGGTTTTCCTGAGTGGAGAGCATTTCTGACCTATTAGACTCCTATCGTTTACAGTTAATATCCTTCTTTGTATACTAAAAACACCTCAACACCCTATTGTGCTTCCAGTGAATACACTGTCAGACCTTACACTTCCTTTGATGGGCAGCTGTGGGTACTGTTCTTATACTCTTTTGTATCAAACATAATATTCTGAATGTATGTGACACTAAGATGATGAAAGCCTCTGCTGATATTTATCAGTCATTTTTCTTTTGTTTCATTTGCCAGTCTAAAATCCCACTTAGAGCAGTCCCCATCTAATAATGTCTATTATCTATTATTAAGAAACCATGAGGTAGGCCTGGAGGTGATGGCTCATGCCTTTAATCCCAGCACTCAGGAGGCAGAGGCATGCAGCTCTCTGTGAGTTTCAGCCTAACCTTGTATACAGAGCATAATCCAGAAAAGCCAGTGCATTTATACAGAAAAACCCTAACTCGAAAAGAAAAAAAAAAAACGTAGTCATGAGGTACAAAGAAGGCAGAAGAAAGCCAAGTGCATTGGGACCACCTCCAATCCTCTCAGACTGTAGCCAACACCAGGCCTGGTACTCTACCTCTGAATGGCTCTTCACTTCAGTCCTGTACAGGTCAAGATCTCCCATTTTCAAGGCCACTGCTGCCTTGGTCAAGGTCACTAAGACTGTTGAAGATTCATGAGTATCCAGCTTCTTTAAATAATGCAAGGCAGTTGAAGGATCAATATTCTTCATAGAGGGACTACAGAGGACATGAGGCAGTTGCTTTGGCTCAGCCACATGAAATATCTGAGCCACTTTTGCTGCTACTTCCTTTGACAAGTATGAGCAAAGAATAAAAGGTTAGCCAATGGGAAGCAGTATAAAAAGAAAAAAAGGAATGTGTGTATATATATAAAGTCAATAGATAAAGAATAAGTTATGATTTAGAAACAGTGTTCATGAGACAATTTGGGAAACTAGAAATGAGAGGACATGATCTGTCTGCAGAGATGCAATAAGAAAAAAATCAAGGAAAAATATATACCAATTTGTGACCAACTTTTCTAACTTCAATCACATTGGAGAAAATGCTATTATATTCAAAAGTCTACAATTTAAAAACTACAACTTAGTTAAAAAATATGCTCTAATGTAATTCAAAAGAAATTTTACTCCCCTTGAAATCTCTAAGTATATGGTATTACAATATCCAACTCTGCTTAAAACACAGAAAGGATTAAAAATAATCTATAATAATGTTTTGGACACTTAAAAAATAGGTCAAATAGAGTTAAAAAAAAAAACAAAGGAAGGCAGCAACTTGATTCTATCTTTCACTTCGGAAATGGATGTTACTATGGTTGGGCAGGTCCCTCAATCACAACAGATAACACCTCCATGCTAAATACTAAGGAAATAGAAGAAGGCGAACCCTAAACTTTTGTTCAGGTTATAATTCTAAAATCATTAAAGAAGAAAAGAACATATTGATTTTTTTGTTTTAGTGGGGAAAAAAGAAAAAAGTATTTGGAACTTAAGTTCTAAATACTATTTACTAAAAGAAATTATTAAATTAAAAAGTTAAAAACAGAAGCTGTAACAGTATAGGAAACTATACTCACTGCATTTAATTCTTCACCCAGGTTTTCATAAAGTGAATGGTTAATATAGAATATTAATCCTCTCTCATATTTCTGTGATTCACTGTCTTCTGTCCAGTCCACACGGGCCAAAACTTCAGACAGAGACAATCCAGACATCTTATAGTATGGCAAGGCGAGGTGGGATTGCTCCGTGTCAAGCCTAAAGAGAGAAATTTTAAAAGGCTTCAAATATGCATTTGAAGTCAGCTACTTAACACAGTTAGTAAGAACACAGGTGATGCTTTCCAAAGAATGAGACGCACGGTGCTTTTCCGCTGCCCCTGGCAACCATATTTGATTTTATAAAGTCACTCTAATTTGCAGTTTCTTTTTTCCTGAACACAACTAAGGTGGAAAAGCAATCATTCATCAAGTGAATTTTCATTTTAATTTTTGGTTTTTCAAGACAGGGTATCCCTGTATATCTCTGGATCTCTTGTAATCTTGTAACTCACTCTGTAGACCAGGTGGACCTCAGTGTCAGAGATCTACCTGCCCCTGTCTCCTGAGTGCTGGGATTAAAGATGTACATCACAACCCCAACTGGCATGAATTGTAATATTTAATATGCCTCTAAAATAATGGCATTTATGGTTCAGCATAGCCTATTTCAGTCATTTATAATCATTTGCCCAAATTAAGTACACCTGTAAAACAATTGTTTACAAAAACTTTTATATACATGGTTCTCAGAAATAAAAATCTCTATTGACCTTAGTAGTCCTTTGTGATATCAAGAGAGCACAGATTACTGATATTAAAATATCAGACTTAAGAAGGATCAAAACCCAGTGCCATTGTCCTTGGCTTCTCAGTCAGCACTCATTGTCCACCATATTTAGAGAGTCTGGTTTGATCACATGCTCCATCAGTCCCAGTTCAGCTGGCCTTGGTGAGCTCCTGTTAGATCAGCCCCAATGTCTCAGTGAGTGGATGCACCCCTTGCGGTCCTGACTTCCTTGCTCATGTTCTCCCTCCTTCTGCTCCTCGTTTGGACCTTGCACTGGCTTTGTAGGAGCCTAGTCTGTTTGGATGCTCACCTTCCTAGACCTGGATGGAGTGGGGAGGACCTTGGACTTCCCACAGGGCAGGGAACCCTGACTGCTCTTTGGACTGGAGAGGGAGGGGGAGGAGAAGTGGGAGGAGGAAGAGGGAAATGGGAGGAGGTGGAAATTTTTAATAATAATAATAAAAGAAAAAGAAAAAATATCAGACTGCTTCAGTGACACGCCTCTGATGTGGGAGTGCTTCTTTCTATCTGTTGCTTTCATTGGTTAATTAATAAAGAAAACTGCTTGACCCAATAGGGCAGAATTTAGATAGGCGGAGTAGACCGAACAGAATGCTGGGAAGAAGGGAGGTGAGCCAGACGCGATGGAGCCAGTCGCCAGGTCAGACATGCTGAATCTTTCCCAGTAAACAACCACCGCGTGGTGCTACACAGATTATTGAAAATGGGTTAATCAAGATGTGAGAGTTAGCCAGTAAGAGGCTAGAGATAATGGGCCAGGCAGTGTTTAAAAGAATACAATTTATGTGCTGTTATTTTGAGGCATAAGCTAGCCAGGCAGCCAGGAGCTGGGCAGGAATGCAGCCTGCTGCTCCTTCTACATGCCTCCCTCAAGCTAACAGACAAGAAACAAGTACCAAAGCTATCTCAGGTCTTTTCCCTGGTCATGTGCCCCTCAAATCCTGAAAATAAATATAATATAAAATAAAGAAAATAAATAAAGTAAATAAATAAAGCCACCCTGCAAATTCAAAAGTTTGGTAATGGGTTTACTATTTATTTCTCTAACAAACTATGACACTTTCAAGACATTGATTGGGCAGATCATATTCACTTTGTATCTCTATACCACAGTACCTGACACTCAACATGCATTTAAGAAATGACTGTAAAATAAATGAAAAAAGTGATCCAACTCCCAGAAATAAAAATCCTGGTAAGTACATATAAAATTCTATAACAAGGCTTAAAAGGCCTCACAGACCTGCTGTAACAGTCTCCAAGATGCCCACAGCTTTCCTTAAAAGCTTCTAAGAGCTCTGCTTTCTCTGCAGGCTCCAGTCGACTGCTCTCCATCAGGGCAGCTCTCACTAGCAGATGAGCCTCACTAAGCAAGTGGATACAGCTCTGGGTTTTCACAGTCTTGTAGGTGTTACTGTAGTCTACCTGAAACAAGAAGAAAAATAGGTAGTGTTGCTGAAGAAAGATCACCAATTCCTCACCCTGTCCCCACTCTTAAGAACTTCATTATATTTTGCTAATAAAATTAACATATAGGTATATAAACACAAAAAGTAACTAAATATGTGGTTGAATATTATCTTAGTTTGTTTTTTATTGCTGTGATAAAGCACCACCATCCAAGGCAACTTGGGGAGGAAAGGGTTTATTTATTTGGTTTACCCATCACACAGTTCATCACTAATGAAGGCCAATGAAGAAACCTGGAGGCAGAAACTGAAATGTAGACCAGCAAGAACACTGCTTAGGCTTGGTCAGCCTGTTTTCTTGTCCTTCTCCTCCTCTTATTTTTTAGACTTACTTGTTTAATTTTATGTGTATGAATGTTTGAATGTTTTGTATGCATATATGTCTGTGTACTCTATGAATGCCTGGAGGTCAGAAGAGATGCCACATCAGATCCCCTGGAGCTGGAGTTTTGGATAGTTCGAAGACATCATGCATGGATGCTGAGAAGTGAACTTGCATTCCCTAATATAGCAACAAGTGCTTTTAACCACTGATGCATCACTGCAGCCCTCAGTACCCTCCGTCTGCTTTCTTATACTATCATGGGCCACCTGCTCAAGGATGGCACTGCCCCAGGGAACATGGCCCTCCCATATAAATCACAATCAAGAAAATACCCTACAAATTTGCCTAAGGCCCATCTGATGGAGGAATTTTCTCTAATGTGACTCCTCGTTCCAGATAACTCTTGTTTGTGTCAAGTTGGCAAAAATACTAATCTGACCCTTTAATAGGACCTTAGCAAATCTATAGGCCAGTTAATACAAATATGATGACAAACATTATTTTGTTAGTAGCTTAAAGCACGAAGAAATTCCAAATGATATAATAATATTGATAGTGTAGTTATCAATAATTTGTTCCTAATTTGATAAGGTTTTGAAGACATTTGAAATAATTAACTTTTTCTTGAAAGGTCCATGACTTAACTTTTTCAAACTAAGGACAAAGTTCCCCTGTTGAGTTTCACCTTGTAACTAACAATGACATCTATTTCCATATTCACAATGGGCATACAAAAACCATCACTGGCTAACCTTCTTTATCGACATCATCAGACTTTAGGAGTCACTTTTAGATGAGATCCAACACTTTCCATGACAACGCTGATAAGTATCAGAAACAAGTCAGTCAATCCTTAACTATATTACCAAAACTGATATCACCAGTGAGGCAACAATGGTCATTACCTGCTTCCATAATTTCATATACTAGGAAAATACATTGAAAACTTACCCATCCCCTGTGACCTCAGCAGCTTCCTGAAACACAGACAGAAACTGCACAGAGCAGATCAAAAGGCAAGCTGCTCCACCACTCACTGAGAGGATCCTGTAATCCCACTTTGCCCCAAAGCCACCAATCCCACAACCTCAGTGGCTCCCTGAGACACAGAGAGTGACTGCATAAAGCAGACCAAGAGGCGAGTGACCAGTCTCCCAGCTGGACAGCCCAGACTCCTAGGCAAAAGCCGGAGCCCCTCCCATGCCCATCTCAGCTCCACTAGCCAGTCAGCAGGAAAGCTTTCTGCAGGCAGGCTGCTCTACCATCCCACCATCAGACCCTGTAATCTACAAGCCCCACTCTGTCGCCAAGCCCACCCATCCCCCCAGGACCTCAGCAGCTCCCTGAGACACAGACAGCTACTGCACCAAGGGCTCCAAGAGAAACAGACAGCGACTGCAACTATAGGGTCAAAAGGAAAAGTTACTGCCTGCACCAATTGAGGAAGAGACGGGTAAAGAAGATGTGGTACATATACACTTTAGAGTTCGACTCAGCGGTAAAAAAACAATGACATCTTGAATTTTGCATGCAAATGGATGGAAATAGAAAACACTTTAGTGAGTGAGGTAACCCAGCCCTAAAGAGATGAATATTGTATGTACTCACTCATTCGTGGATTCTAGCCATAAACAAAAGATATTGAGTCTATAGTTCATGATCCTAGATAACCTAAATAAAAAGAAGGTGAACCTAAAGAAAAACATATACTTATCCTCCTGGATACTGGAAGTAGACAAGATTGCCGGGCAAAAGTTGGGAGAATGGGGGTGAGGGTAGAGTGGGGGGAAGGGGAAATGGGGAGAGAGAAGGGAGAAGGGGAAGATGGGGAGAGCTTGGGGAATGGGATGGTTGAGATGGAGGAAGGGTGGATATAGGAGCAGGGAAGAAGATATCTTAATTAAGGGAGCCATTTTAGGGTTGGCAAGAGACTTGGCTCTAGAGGGGTTCCCAGGTGTCCAAGGAGATGTCCCTAGCTAGGTCCTTGGGCAGCAGAGGAGAGTGTACCTGAACTGGCCTTCTCCCATAGCCACACTGATGAATATCTTGCATATCTTCATAGAACCTTCATCTGGCTATGGATGGAGATAGAGACAGAGACCCACATTGGAGCACTGGAATGAGCTCCCAAGGTCCAAATGAAGAGCAGAAGGAGGGAGAACATGAGCAAGGAAGTCAAGACCTCGAGGGGTGTGCCCACCCACTGAGATGGTGGAACTGATCTAATGGGAGCTCACCAAGGCCAGCTGGACTGGGACTGAATGAGCATGTGATCAGACCAGACTCTCTGAACATGGCTGACAATGAGGGCTGACTGAGAAGCCATTGAAAATGGCATCAGGTTTTGATTCTACTCTATGTACTGGCTTTTTGGGAGCCTAGTCTGTTTGGATGCACACCTTCCTAGACCTGGATGTGGTGGGGAGGGCCTTGGACTTCCCACAGAGAAGGGCACCCTGACTTCTCTTAGGTCTGGAGAAGGAGGGGGTAGGGGGAGTGGGAAGAGTGGGAGGGAAATGGGAGGGGAAGAAGTAGAAATTTTTAATAAATAAATAAATTTTAAAAATAAAAAAAAAGAAAACAGAAAAAAAGAGAGATGGGTAGATGAGATGCAAGAATACATTCAACCACTAAAAGTGCAATATGGCCCCCACCAGAGCCTAGTGTTCCTACAAAAGAAAAACTTGAACATCCCAATGCAGAGGAAGCAGAAGAAAACAATCTTAAAAATCACTTTATGAAGATGTTAGAGACCCTTAAAGAGGAAATGAAAAATACCCTTAAAGAAATCGAAAAAAAAAGACATACAAAAAATTGGAAGAAATCAATAAATCTGTCAAAGAAAGCCAAGAAAAAACAATCAAACAGGTTAAAGAAACAGTTCAAGACTTGAATATTGAAATCGAGGCAATCAAAAAAACACAAACCAAGAGAATCCTGGAAATGGAAAATCTGAGTAAACGAACATGAACTACAGATGCAAGCATAACCAACAGAATGCAAGAGATGGAAGAAAGATTTCAACCAATAATGATATGACAGAGAAAATAGATTCATCTCTCAAAGAAAATAATGAAGCCAACAAAGTCATACCATATAACATCCAGAACACCATCTAGGACACCATGAAAAGACCAAACCTAAGACTAGTAGGGATAGAAGAAGAAGAAGTCCAGCTCAAAGGCACAGAAAATATAGTCAACAAAGTCATAGAAAAAACAATTTCCCAACCTAAAGAAGGAAATGCCTATGAAGATACAAGAAGCTTACAGAAAACCTATAATCAAAACACAAAATATACAGAATAAAAAAAGAATATAAAGAGCTGCAAAGGAAAAAGACCATGTAACATAAAAAGGCAGACCCATCAAAATAACATCCCATTTCTCAATGGAGACTCCGAAAGCAAGGTCCTGGACAGACATTATGCAGACACTAAGAGACCATGGATGCCAAGCCAGACTACTGTTCTCAACAAGACTTTCAATCATCGTAGATGGAGAAAACAAGATATTCCATGACAAAAACAAATTTAAACAATACCTATTCACAAATCCAGCCCTACAAGAAAGCACTAGAAGGAAAACACCAAACCCCAAGGAAGTTAGCTGTACCACAAAACTCCAACCCAGGGAAGTTAGTTATATCCACATAAACATATAATAACAAAATATATATTAATATATTATATATAACATATAATAAAACATATATAACAACAAATAATCCCACACTAGCAAATCCTAAAGACAGGAAACACACATTACCACCAAAAAAAATCACAGGCATTAACAATCATAGGTCATTAATATACCTTAATATCAACAGACTCAACTTATAAAAAGACACAGGCAAACAGAATGGATAGCAAAACAAGATCTGTCCTTCTGCTGCATACAAGAAACACACCTCAACTTCAAAAACAGACATTTCCTCAGAGCAAAGGATTGGGAAAAGATTTTCCAATCAAATGGACCTAAGAATAAAGCTGTTGTAGCTATCCCAATATCTAACAAAAAAAAACCTTCAAACTAAAAGTAATCAAGAGAAATGAAGAAAGACATTTCATATTCTTCACAGAAAAAAATCAATGAAGATGAAGTCTCAATTCTGAACATCTATTTCCCAAAAACAAGGGCACCTACACATGCAAGAGAAACATTACTAAAGCTTAAATCGCACATTAAGCTGCACTCACTAATATTGGGAAACGTCAACACCCCACTCTTACAAATGAACAGGTGTGCAAGACAGAAATTAACAGAGAAATAAGGGAACTAAGAGATGTTATGACTCAAATGGGCTTAACAGACATCTACAGAACATCTCACCCAATCACAAAAGAATATCCCTTTTTCTCAACACCTCATGGAATCTTCTGTAAAACTGACCACATACTTGACAACAAAGCAAACCTCAACAGAAACAAACAAACAAAAATGGAAAAACCTCCTGTATCTTATCATGTCACCATGCTTAAACTTAAAATTCATCAAGAATGCAAATTCCTGAAAGCTTACCAACTTATGGAAACTGAATAATGCTCAACTGAATCACTCCTGGGTCAAAGGAAAAATTAAGGCATCAAAGACTTCCAAGATTTCATCAAAAATGAAGGCACAACATACCCAAACTTATGGGACAGAAAAGTTCAGAGCACTAAAAGCCTACATAAAGAAGTTGGAGAAACCCCCACCCTAGCAAATTAACAGAACACCAGAAAATTCTAGAACAAAAAGAAGCAAACTCATCCATAAGGAGAAGATATGAGGAAATAATCAAACTGAAGGCTGAAATTAATAAAATAGAAACAAAGAATCAATGAGACAAAGAGTTGGTTCTCTGAGAAAATCAGCATGATAGACAAACCCTTATCCAAACTAACCAAAAGACAGAGAGAGAATATCCAAATTAACAAAATCAGAAACAAAAAGAGGGATATAAAAACAGGCATTAAGAAAATCCAGAGAATCATCAGAAACATCAAAAACCTGTACTCCACAAATTGGAAAATGTAAAAGAAATGTACATTTTTCTATATAGGTTTCACATACCATAATTAGATCAAGACAAGATAAACAATTTTAAAAGACCTATAACCCCTAAGGGAATAGAAACAGTCATTAAAAGTCTCCTAATCAAAAAAAAAAAAAAAAAAAAAAGCCAGGACCAGCTGGCTTTAGTGCAGAATTTCAAAGAATAGCTAATTCCAATACTCCTTGAATTGTTCCACAAAACAGAAACAGAGGGAACAAAACTCCTTTTATGAGGTTACAGTTACCTTTATACCCAAACCACACAAAGATGCAACAAAAGAAAGAAAACTACAGACCAAACACTTTCATGAACATTGATGCAAAAATACTCAATAAAATATTGGCAATGGCAAACTAAATCCAAGAACACATCGCAAAAATCATTTGCCATGGCCAATTAGGCTTCATCCCAGAGATGCAGGGTTGGTTCAACATATGGAAATCTGTCAGTTTAATCCACCATACAACCAAACTGAAAGAAAAAATATATGATCATCCCATTAGCTGCTAAAAAAAGCCTGCAACACAAACCAACACCCCTTAGGATAAAAGTCTTGGAGATATCAGGAATACAAGGGACATATCTAAACATAATAAAAGCAATTTACAGCAAGCCAACAGCTAATATCAAATTAAACAGAGAGAAACTCAAAGTGATTTCACTAAAATCAGGAACAAAACAAGGCTGTTTACTTTCTCCATATCTATTCTACATAGTACTTGACGTTCTAATTAGACCAATAAGACAACAAAAGGAGTCCAGAGGGTACAATTTGGAAAGAAAGAAGGCAAACTACCAACTATTGCCATTCACAGATAATACAATAGTATACATTAGTGACCCCCAAAACTCTACTTGGGAACTCTTTTTTTTTTTTTGATTTTTCAAGACAGGGTTTCTCCATAGCTTTTGGTTCCTGTCCTGGAACTAGCTCTTGTAGACCAGGCTGGCCTCGAACTCACAGAGATCCGCCTGCCTCTGCCTCCCGAGTGCTGGGATTAAAGGCGTGCGCCACCACCGCCGGCAACTTGGGAACTCTTAAAGTTGATAAACACCTCTAGTAATATGCTGGGATACAAGATTCACTTTAAAAAAAAAAAAAGGTAGACTGTAGCTGGGTGGTGGTGGTGCATGCCTTTAGTCCCAGCACTCGGGAGGCAGAGGCAGGCAGATCTCTGTGAGTTCCAGGCCAACCTGGTTTACAGTTCCAGGACAGGCACCAAAGCTACAGAGAAACCCTGTCTTGAAAAACCAAAAACCAAACAAACAAAAAGCCAGAAGAGCTAAAACAATCCTGCACAATAAATGAACTTCTGGGGTCATCACCATCCCTGACTTCTGGCTCTACTATAGAACTGTAGTAACAAAAACAGCTCGGTATTGCCATAAAACAGACACGTCTACCAATGGAATGGAATTGAAGACCCTGAAATTAGTCCACACACCTTGAACACCTGATTTTTGATAAAGAAGCCAAATTGGTACAATGGAAAAAAGAAAGGATCTTTAACAAATTATAACTATTATAACTGGATGTCAACATGTAGAAGATTGCAAATAGATCATATCTATCACCACACACAAAACTCAAGTTCAAGTGGACCAAGAACCCAATATAAATCCAGTTACATTGAACCTGACAGAAGAGGAAGTGGGAAGTAGCATTCAATGCATTGATACAGGAGACCACTTCCTAAATATGACACCAGTAGCACAGACACTGAAAGGGACAATCAATAAATGGGACCTCCTAAAACTAAAAAGCTTCTGTAAGGTAAACGACATGGCAAATAAGACAAAACAACAACCTACAGAATGGTAAAAGATCTTTACCAATCCACATATGACAGAAGGCTGATCTCTAAAATATATAAACTCAAGCATACCATAAGGACACTTCCTCAGCAATGTTCATGGCAACATTATTCGTAATAGCTAGAAATTGGAAATAACCTAGATGCCCCTCAACTGAAGAAAGAATAAAGAAAATGTGGTACATTTACCGAATGAAGTATTATTCAGTTGTAAAAAACAATGACATCATATAATTTGTAGTCAAAAGGATGGAACTAGAAAAAAACATCCTGAGTGAGACTCAGAAATACAAACACGGTATGTACTCACTCCTAAGTGGATATTAGATATAAAGCAAAGAATAACCAGGCTACAATTCACAATTCCAGAGAAGCTAGGTAACAATGAGGACCCTAAGATGGATATCTCTGGGATGGGGAATTAGATGAGATTTCCTGTATAACTGGGGGCAAAAGCTGTCAATAAAGGTGGGGGACGCAGCATGTGAAATTAGGGAACAGGATGGTTGAGTGGATGGAGAGCAATGAAAGAGAGCTCTTGATACAGAGAGCCACTATGGTGTTAGGGAAAAATTCCCAAGAATCCACAAAGATGACATCAGCCAAGACTCCTGGCAATAGTGGAGTGGGTGACAAAACTGATCTTTCTCTGCAATCCGATCTGTGAATACTCCCTCTATCATGATAGAGCCTCCATCGGATAGCTTGATGGAAACAGATGCAGAGATCCACAAGCAAGCACCAGGCCGAGCTCTGTGAATCCAGTCGAAGAGAGGCAAGTATGAGTAAGGGGCCTCGGAAATGCCAGAAGCTGTGAAAACATGCTTGGCTGTCCTGATGGAGCCTGGACGCTGTCTTGATGCAGCAAACTGAATGTATAATTAACTAGATCCATTTATTTTCCTCTCTTGAGATTTCCTTAGTGAAATACAAGGGCAGAGGTTGGGCAGTAACAAGAGCCATATCTGTCTAGAAGCAATCTCTTACATTCAATTTTACTCTAAATTTCTATGAAAAAGAATCAGATGTCTAAAAAGGTACCATTTCTTTGTATAGCTGAAGTGGTGCAATAGTATTCACAATATACAGGTTCCATCCGGCCTCAGCTACGGGGGAGATTCTTCTCCTAACACTGGCATCTTTTCTAGAACAGAAAAGGATCAGACTTAGGAGACAAGTTATTAATAAACTATAGTTTTCTCCTGTAAATATTGGGTACTATAAAATAATACAAATACATTACTTTCATTTAATTTTACCTGGTATTTAGCTATTTATATAGTCAGTTTTCATAGTTCACATCACTTCACATTTACACATTACACAGTAGTAGCATTTACTACTGTCATATACAGGTAAGCCAACTTGTTTCCAATTCTCCAAGACTAAGCCCACCTACTTGGGGACATGCAGACCCAACAGCTTTGACAATCCTCATGTCTGATCCCTCTTCATTGTGGTTTTCATGAGTCTAGCATGTCAGGGACCACAAAATCTTAACAGAAACAACATGTAAACATCACTGGGAAATGTTGAAATACATAAGTCTGAGTTGGCTTAAAGTGTCATCTCTTACTTTTCTGTGTTTTTTCTTTAATATAAAATGGATTATTCTTCAATATAAAAATATAATAAGCTCTTTTATAACATAAAATGACCTTTGAATAAAAATTTAAGTACTGAAATGCCAAAGAAGAAAAGCAGGGAGAATTTTTGTGGCCAGGATTAACATTAGGCGTTCTATCTATCCCCATAATTCCACAAAGAAGGCTAATCTTTTATATTCTTATCCACAGTACAGGTGACAGCTACTGAAACTATTTAATAATTCATTTCTTATAAAAGTTCCAAGTTAAATTATAAACAATATTTTAGAGTTCATTGTATCTTTATTTTCTCTGGAAAAGCCACCAATCTGATCATTCTGAGTTTTAATTTAAAAAAATAAAACTAAGACACATACACATTACACCAGTTACACTTCATTCCAGAAACTGGCAGCAATGTGCCAGGATAGCAGAATACTTACAGAAGTCTCTTGGGTGATTCTCTTTTCTCTGAAACAGCTTCAGGGTCTGCCTTGGTCAGAAGTATGATGTGGTTTTTAAAATGGCAGATGGCTTTCAGTCCTATGAAAAGCTGTATCCTTAGGGCACACACATCCATACTGACAGGTGGGCAAGCCTAATGAAGGGAAAATATCAAATTTAACCAAGGAATGAAGGTATATGAACTTCATCTTCAAAAATCCGGGCTTGGGATGTAGCTCAGTTAGCAGAGTACATGAAGCCCTGGGTTCACTCACCAGCGTGGTATAATACCAGGGATAGTGACTCATACCTCAGTCAAGAGGTGGACACAGGATGATCAAAACTTCAAGGTTATAGTCAGCTACAAAGTGAATTAAGAGGCTAACCTGAGATACATGGGACCTTGTCTTTAAAAACAAACCTACAAAGTCAGTCTGTTCATTTGATTAAAAAATTCTCCACCCAGTTCCTGTTCTTTAGAATACCAACCTATGCATATCAGCCACCACCTATTTTATAGATCTTTTCTGAGTTGATGACTATAAATACAGAAAGAAGGTCTCACAGCTGGGGAAGCTACTGGAGAATAGTCCCTGAAGACCCTGTTGGAAGAGTAACTCTGAAATTGTTACCTGTCCCTCAGTAAAATCTCTACTAAATGTCATCTTAGGGCTTAATCAGATGCTATAAAAGACCACACTGTAGCACATAAAGCATATAAAATGTTTTCTTTGCTTGTATGTTTTGCTGTCCCTCACTGTAAACCCCTTGGTTGTAAACAAAGTCTCGGGCATCTAACAGCCTGAGACATGTGTTAAGTAAATTGGGAGGAGCCAGGATAGTGTTCCACCCCAAAACATTAAATGGAAGAAAACGGATAAGATATGATATAGAATATGAATAGAGTAGAAGAAGCAGAATCTCCAAGGAAAGGGAGTGAAGATTGTATATACTTTTCTTCAGTTGGGGCTGTCTCAGACTCAACAGCTCCCAAAATGTTCAGCAAAATAGCAAGTGGGTGAAATGATTGCATGCTTACTCAGTGGCATCTAGGGTTTCAGAACTGGTGAGGCCATGGGGAAAGGGAGCCAGAAAGTGTGAACACCACTCCCTTCCCTCTCACACCTCCTTCAGTGCTGTGCACATTAGAGAAAAGGCACATAAAATCTATGAATCTAGTTTTCCCAGCATCTGAAAACAAACTTGAAGTCAAGTCAGCAGCAGAAAATTATGGCATTAGTCAGGCAGGTGAAAAATGAACCCACTCTAGGACATTATCATTATCCAGATACCTGGTAATAGTACTGTGGTAACCACATTTCAGGCTCACTGGGCAGGATCAAACAGCAAGCTGCTATCTAATATAGCCATCATTAGCAAAAAGCACTACCCTCCTACCAACAAAAGAGGCACTGAAGACAGACATAAAGTAACCTATAAAAACAGGGAAGAATAATTTAGGGCTGCTTGCAGAAAGCACAATAGGTACGAACATGCATTCAGTTAGTTTATACCTTAGAAGTGAAACAGCACAGGTAATGTTACGCAAATAGTGACTACATTGCTGAGAAAAAAAATGCAAGGTCACATGATCATCAAAAACTTGCCTATATTCAGTTGTAATTCACGCTTTTTTGATGTTAAAGATATTCTCACTAAAACAAAAATAAAATTATTGATCTAGCATATCAAGAAACTTTTGAGTATAAAAATTGTTAAAGGCTTAGAAAATAAAAAATATTGTATTATGATGATAGTAAAAGAAACCACTTTCATGTATTACATTCAATTACACAGTGTTGACTGCACTGTTTTAATAGTTCTATACAACTGTTAACAAACGTGTCCATTAAAAACAAGACTATAATCTGGGTGGTGGTGGTGAATGCCTTTAATCCCAACACTAGGGAGACAGAGGCAGGTAGATTTCTGTGAGTTCGAGGCCAGCCTGGTCTACAAGAGTTAGTTGCAAGACAGCTAGGACTGTTATACAGAGAAACCCTGTCTCAAAAAAAAAAAAAAAAAAAAGTAAAACTGTATAACCAGGAATGGTAGCTCACACCTGTAATCTCATACACACACAGGAGGACTGATGCATGTTACAGGCCTGTCTGGAATACATAGTGAATTCCAGGTGAAACACACAATGGAAAAAAAGGAAGCATCTTCAACAAATGGTGCTGGTCTAACAGGATGCTGGTATGGAGAAGATGTAAATAGATCCATACAAAATTCAAGTCCAAGTGGATCAAAGACCTCAACACAAATCCAATTACACTGATCCTGATAGATGAGAAAGTGGTGAATAGCCTTGAAGGCATTGTCATAGGAGACACTTTCCTAAACAGAACACCAATAGAGCAGGCACTAAGAAAAACAGTAAATAAATGGGACCTCGTGAAACTGAAAAATTTCTATAAGGCAAACGACAAGGTCAAAAGGACAAAAATGGCAGCCTATAGAATGGGAAATGATTTTCACTGACTCTACATCTGAAGGCTAATATCCAAAATGTGTAAGGAACTCAAGAAACTAGAGATCAACCAAATGAAATAATTCAATTAAAAAATAGGGTACAGATCTAAACAAAATTTTCTACAGAGGAATGGCTGAGAAACACTTATTGAAAGGTTCACCATCCTTAGCCATCAGGGAGATGCATATCAAAATTACACTGAGATTCCATCTTAACACCTGTCAACTTGGCTAAGATCAAAACCACAAATGATAGATCATAATGGCAAGGATGTGGAGAAAGGGGAACACTTCTCAATAATAGTAGGAGTGAAAACTTGTATAGTCACTTTTGAAATCAATATGGCAGTTTCACAAAAAATTGGGAATTGGTCTACCTCAAGATCCAGCTATATCACTCCTGGGCCTATACTAAAAAAATAGTCCATTCTATCACAAGGACATTTGCTCAACTATGTTCACAGCAGCTTTATACACAATACCCAGAAACTGGAAACAACCTCAACTGAAAAATAGATTTAAAAAATGTACATTTACATAATAAGAGTATTATTTAGTTGTTAAAAGCAATTGGTGTCTGTCTATTATGTGTTGCTCTTATTGGTTAATGAATAAAGAAGACTGCCTTGGCCTGTTGATAGGGCAGAACGTAGGTAGACCAAGAAAACTGGACTGAATGCTGGGAGAAGGAAGGCAGACACCATGGATCTGCCATTGAAGATAGACGTGCTGAAACTTTGCTGGTAGGCCATGACCTCATGGTGATACACAGATTTATTAAGAAGGGTTAATTTAATATGGAAGAGTTAGCCAATAAGAAGCTAGATGATGGGCCAAGCAATGATTTAATTAATACAGATTCTGTGTGATTATTTCTGGCCTAAGCTTGCAGGGCAGCTGGGATCCAAACAAGTGGGCCTCATACAACAAACAATGACATCATGGAATTTTCAGGCAAATGACTGGAACTAGAAAAAAATCATTCTGATTGAGGTAACCCAGATCCAGAAAAACAAACATGGTATATACTCACTTTTAAGTGGATATTAGCTATAAAGTGAAAGATAATCATGCTACAATCCACAGATCCAGAAAGGTTAAGTAACAAGGAGGGCTCAAGGTGGGACACAAGGATCGCTCAGGGAAAGGAAAAGAGAATACATTTCATGGATGACCTGGAGAGGGAAGGTGAGAGGGAGGAACTGGAAGGAGGGGAAACTGTGGTTGAGATATATGAAAGAAGAATTAGAAAGTTTTTTTTTTTTAAAAAAAGACTAAAAATAAAACAAGAAAAATAGTAATATATCATAGTTATAAACTTCCCTCTGAAACAATGATTCTTAGCCTTTCTAATGCTGTGACCCTTTAATAAAGTTTCTCATGGTAACTCCAAACCATAAAATTATTTTGTTGCTACTTCATACCTGTAATTTTGCTGCTGTTATGAACCATAATGTAAATATTTTTGGAGATAGAAGTCACAACCCATAGGTTGGAAAACACTGCTCTGAAGGTACACTGTATCTGTTACTTGATGTAGAAGGTCCTTCTGTCTATGTGCTATTTTTATTGGTTAATGAATAAAGAAAATTGGCATGGCCTATAGCATGGGAGGAGAAAGGCAGAGTTAGGAGAAATCATGGAGTGGCTGCCAGAGACAGACATACTGAAACATTGCTGGTAGGCCACAACCTCATGGTGATGCACAGATTAATAGAGATGGGTTAAATTACGATGTAGGGGTTAGCCAATCAATGTAACTGGGACATGTGTTGATTTATAATTTCTTTTTTATTCTGTGACTACACAACTTCATATACCATGGGACAAGTCATTTCAGGGCAATTTGAATGCATCCCCTTGAGCTATGGTTATTCATATTTGTCTCTGAATAAACCATTTTCTTAAAAAAAAAAAAGAAGCAGTGATTTAAATAATATGGTTTCTGTGTGGTTATTTTGGGTCTAAGCTAGTTGGGCATCCAGAAACCAACAAGCGGCTCTTTCCCTCCTCCTACAATTACTCATAACACTTTAAAACACACTGAAACAATCTTAAAAACTGTCAAATCACACATCAGAAATGCTTACTAGTTTTTATTCAGAACTTCTAATTTAATAAAAGTATTAATTAGGGTTACTATTGCTATAATGAAACATCATGACCAAAAGCAAGATGGTGAGGAAAGGGTTTGTTTGGGTTCCCTCCTCTCAGATGACTCTAGCCTACGTCAAGGTGACATTAAGTTAGCTAGCACAAACAATAAAGCCTTTGCAAGCATTCGTGTCAACAGAAGTCAGCTCTAACCTTCAATGTGGTATCCACACGCAGGTCCTCCTGGGCCACTGCTGCACTGCAACGCACCGTGAAACACTGAAGGCTTTGGCTATGGAAGAAGAGAGATGGAACTAAGCAAAGAGGTGACCAAGAACCAATATACCCACCATGATGAGAAAGACTTCACCAACAAACAGCAATTGCAGAGGGTAGAGATGATACTACTGTCACATGATAGTATTTTGATCTGATTCTCAGAAAGGACAGTGTTGCTGAATCCCTGAGGCATGATCGTAGACTACCTCATTCCCATGGAAAACAATCTCAAGCACCAACTGCCATGTACACCCACAGTCTTACTCATTAAGAGCCAGGCTAGCCAGGTTGGAATCAAGATCCTCACTTAACAAACAGCAAAACGCCCCTAACAGCAGCTCACAGAATAAACAGGTGATTATTAGAACAGAATTTAGAATTGGCTTCCCGACTGCTGACTACTCTAACATCTCATAATAAAACTCAACCTCGTTTATGCCATGTGACCAGCTACACCAACATATCAAAGGTAAAATGAAAATGAAAGACACAGGATTTTTCAGAAATGCCTGTTCACTATCTTGCTTTGAAAACTAGAAAGGTTTATATTGGCTGAGGCCTCTAGAGAGTATAACCAACTAGAAAGCAGGTCTCTGACTCCTCTGTCTCCTTCTACAACCCCAGACTCATTCTGCAGAGTAAAGACACATAAGGAGACTTAGAGAGCACATAAACACCTGGAAGTCATCTGTTGAAGAGATCTAAACCAATAGCAATATTGATTAAAAAGCTATTTCCTCAGAAATTACACCATATCCATCTTGGAAGCAAACTAGAAACTTGGAGAAACAAACATTAGTTCTTTAAAACTAGGAGAAAAGAACAGGTGTGCCACTTACCTATAAACAGTCCCTTAATACCCTTTCCTGAATTACTCCCACAACTTGATAGATGATGAACTCATCCTCCATAGTGGCAGCTGTCAGTGTTCCAGAAGCAAAAGAAAAAGCCATCCTTAGCTTGACTTTCAAAACCTGACACTAGCTCTCTGGCATGATTCCCATCATGTGTTTATTTTTAACTTCCTCATAGTCAAAGGCTATCAGTACACACAAATGTGAAGAGTGAGAAGATTAGCTATCCTGAAACACTCCTGTCCCCATTCTACAGGACCTGGGAGAATGGAGCCTAAAAATGAGGTACACCAAAGTCTCATGCAATTGCCATCTCTATTTAGAGCATCAATCTGTATTCTGAGGGTTATGCAAGGTCATATTAGTTCAAGCTGTAAACATTTTGAATAAGAATAGCAAGATAATGGGTAATCTGAAGTAAACCCATTCCTATTTACTACACCTGGGAGGGGCATGAAAGAACATTCCAAGAATAAACCCATGCTTAGAAGGAACTGAGATCACAAGACTCTTGTCTTGTATTCTTGAATTTTTCTTACAAGCACTCAGAATTCTTCATTCTTAGACCCTATTTAATACACTTTTACTGTTAGCACTTTTCCTTATACCAGAAAACAGTAAGGGAAGGGAGAACTCTGGATAAAGGTGAGCATCAGAATAACATACTCTTAGTAGCCTCTGGAATTCTGACACATCCACAAAATTAAAACAAAACAAAAATCAAGGTTGTATGCAGTTAACTATTGGACATTTCTGAAAACCTGGATATCAGCCTATATTGTCTTCCTTCTCCCAATTTTAAGTCCCTTGAACCACATGAGGACCTCCAACTACCAGGATCCAGCACAGGACACTCTAAGTTGGCCTGACTGTTGAACCCTGCCTCCACCCTACAGATTAAAAACCCAAGCTCAGTATTTGAAATCCAGCAATCTTTACCCTAGAAAGCTTCACCCTGAAAAGTTCCAATTCTCTCCCCAAGAAACTGTATTATATAAGCCCTACCTTCAGTTCAGTTCTCACCCAAACAGAGGCGGTCACCCTCCTGGTTGTTTCCCCTACCAATAAATCTCTTGTGTGAAGTTTGTTGTACAGTGTGACTTTGTGGTATTCCTAGGCTCCTGGCTGCCAAGATGCCTTTCCATCAAAGCTGTAACCCTTACACCAAAAATGCTAACATTTTTCTTCATCCATCAGAATTCTATCTTCTAGACATAGCTTCAGACTCCATCCACCTATCTGAAATGTTCCCACACAACCTAGCCAGAAGTAATACCCCTCTTCCAAAGACACTTTGTACATCATTAAATCTTAAAATATTTCCCCAAATCTTCTAGTATTTATGCTTTTTAAATGTTTCTCTGGTCATCTCTTATACTGTTGCTTTAGGAAATTCACAATGTATGCATGGTTGCTGGTCAGAAAATCCATGGCAATCCCTCAAATATAACCTAGATACAAAAAATGAGAAACAGAATATAAACCAGAAGATCCATCCAGAAGGGTGAGTGTGTGCCCCACCGGACCGCCAGATGCTCCGGGAAGAGAGCACAGGTACCCTCCAATCTCCTAAACTTTCTGGCCATTCAGTGGGGGCTTCTGCCCAGCTACCGCCTTTCTCTTCTTATCCCATCTCAGCTTGCCCCCAAGAACCCCCTTCCATCTGCGGGGTCATAGGATCCCCCAACTAAGCCTGCTTCAGGGCTGAGGGTCTGGAGACAAAGTGGTGAGTGCAACTGCTGCAGGAGTTTCTTTGTTCCACTGAGCCTGCACCTAGCAAGCCTGCACTTTTGTCTGCGAGGTCCCTGGCCAGGACGTATCCCTGATCCTGTACCAGAAGATCCGTCCAGGGGCTGGAGAGATGGCTCAGAGGTTAAGAGCATTGCCTGCTCTCCCAAAGGTCCTGAGTTCAATTCCCAGCAACCATATGGTGGCTCACAACCATCTGTAATGGGGTCTGGTGCCCTCTTCTGGCCTGCACGCATACATGGAAGGAATGCTGTATACATAATAAATAAATAAATATTTAAAAAAAAAAAAGAAGATCCGTCCAGAGGGGTGAGTGTGTGCCTGACCAGCCAGCCGGCCACCCCAGTAAGGGAGCACAGGCACCCTCCAATCTGCTAAACTTTCTGGCCATTCTCTCAGGCTACGTAGCCTTTCTCCTCTTATCCCATCCCAGCTTGTCCCCAAGCACACCTTTCCATCTGCGGGGTCCTTAGATCAACCACCATAGCCTACTTTAGGGTGGAGAGGAACTGAGAGACAATTCCAGTGCTGAGGGGACCTAAGAGAGGGCAGACAAAGAAAAACCCCCAAGTACACAGGTAGCCACAGCAAAGATCAGACTAAGTTGCCAAGACTTTCCTAACATCATTTGAAGGCAGAGATGGGCAGGTGCCATGCAAGAATTCCTCCAACAATCTGAAAAGCAACATGACATCACCAGAATCCAGCAGCACACAACAGGAAGACTTGAGCACCCTAATCAAGAAGAAGTAGAAGAAATAGATTTAAACATAAAATTATGAAAGTGTTAGAGACCACTAAACAGGATGTGAAAAACTTCTTTAAAGAATGGATGCAAAAGCAAGATCCAACATTCTGCTGCTTACAAGAAACACACCTCAACCACAAAGATAGACATCTACTCAGAGTAAAGGGTTGGGAAAAGGTTTTTCAATCAAATGGACCTAATAAACAAGCTGGTATGACTATACTAATATCTATCAAAATTGACTTCAAACTAAAATCAATCAGAAGAGATGGAGATGGACACTTTATACTCATAACAGGAACAATTCATCAGGATGAAGTCTCAATCCTGAATATCTATGCCCCTAATATAAAAGCACCCACATATGTAAAAAAAAATTACTAAAACTCAAGGCCCACATCAAACTCCACACACTAATAGTAGGAGACTTCAATACTCCTCTCTCACCAATGGATCAGTTAATCAGACAGAAACCTAATAGAGAAATAAGAGAGCTAACAGAAATAATGAATCTAATGGACTTAACAGACATCTATAGAACATTCCAGCCAAATAGGAAAGAATATACTTTCTTCTCAGCATCTCATGGAACCTTCTCGAAAATTGATCACATATGCAGTAACAAAGCAAACTTCCACAGATACAAAAAAAAATTTAGTAACCACCTGTGTCTTATTGGATCACCATGGAATAAAGGTAGAATTTAACAATAATTTTACGGTCAGAAAGCCTACAAACTCATGGAAACTGAACAGTCAACCACTGAACCACCCCAGGGTCAAGGAAGAAATTAAAGTCTTCCTTGAATTCAACGAAAATAAAGACACAACATACCCAAACCTATGGGACACTATGAAAGTGGTGCTAAGAGGAAAGTTCATAGCTCTAAGTGCCCACATTAAAAAAATGGAGAAAGCTCACATTAGTGACTTAACAGCACAGCTGAAAGCTCTAGAGAAAAAAAAAAAGCAGATTCACCCAGGAGGAGTAGAAGACTGGAAATAATCAAACTGAGGGCTGAAATCAATAAAATAGAAACACAGAAAACAATCTAAAGAATCAATGAGCCGGGCGGTGGTGGCGCACGCCTTTAATCCCAGCACTCGGGAGGCAGAGGCAGGTGGATCTCTGTGAGTTCGAGACCAGCCTGGTCTACATGAGTTCCAGGATAGGCTCCAAAACCACAGAAACCCTGTCTCAAAAAAAAAAAAAAGAATCAATGAAACAAAGAGCTGATTCTTTGAGAAAGGCAACATGATTGACAAACCTTTATCCAAACTAATCAAAAGGCAGAGAGAGAACATAAAAATTATCAAGATCAGAAATGAAAAGGGGGACATAACAACAGACACAGAGGAAATTCAGAGAATCATTAGGTCTTACTACAAAAGCCTACATGCCACAAAGTTAGAAAATGTAAAAGAAATGAAATTTTTTAAAGATAAATACCATATACCAATATTAAATAAGACCATGTAACAATTTAAATAGGCCTATAAGTCATAAGGAAATAGAAGCTGTCATAAAAAACCTCCCAACCAAAAAAAAAAAGCCCAGGACCTGATGGTTTTAATGCAGAATTTTACTAGAACTTCCAAGAAGAGCTGATACCTATACTCCTTAATGTGTTTCACATAATAGAAACATAAGAGTCATTAGCAAGCTACAGTTACCCTGATTCCAAAACCACACATAGACTCAACCAAGAAAGAGAATTACAGACCAATCTCGCTCATGAACATTGATGCAAAAATTCTCAATAAAATACTGGCAAACAGAATCCAAGAGACACATCAAAAAAATTATCCATTACTATCAAGTAGGCTTCATCCCTGAGAGCCAGGGCTGGTTCAACATACGCAAATCTATCAATGTAATCCATCATATAAATAATCTGAAAGAAAAAAAAACATATGATCATTTTATTAGATGCTTAAAAAGCATTTGACAAAATTCAACACCCCTTTATGATAAGGGTCTAAATATAATAGAAACAATATACAGCAAGCCAACAGCAAACATCAAATTAAATGGAGATAAACTCAAAGCCATTTCACTAAAATCATGAACAAGACAAGGCTGTACACTCTCACCATATCTTCAACATAGTGCTTGAACTCATAGCAATAGCAATAAGACAACATAAGGAGATCAAGGGGATTCAAATCGGAAAAAAAGAAGTCAAACTTTCATTATTTGATAGTGTATATCAGTGACCCCAAAAACTCTACCAAAGAATTCCTACAGCTGATAAATATCTTCAGTCATGTGGCAGGATACAAGATCAACTCAAAAAAAAAAAAAAAAAACAGTTGCCCTCCTACACACAAAGGATAGAGAAGCAGAGAGGGAATTCAGAAAAACTTCACCTTTTACGACAGCCACAAATAGCATAAAGTATCTTAAGGTAGCTCTAACCAAGGAAGGGAAATATCTATTTGACAAGAACTTTAAGGCTTTGAAGAAAGAAATTGAAGAAGACACCAGAAAATGGAAGGATCTCCCATGCTCTTGGATGGGTAGAATCAACATAGTAAAAATGGCAATTCTACCAAAGGCAATCTATATATTCAATGCAATCCCCATCAAAATCCCAACAAAATTCTTCACAGACTTTGAGAGAACAATAATCAACTTTATATGGAAAAACAAAAAACCTAGGATGGCCTATACAATAAAGGAACTTCTGGAGGCATTACCATCCATGACTTGAAACTCTATTACAAAGCTCCAGTAATGAAAACAGCTTGGTATTGGCATAAAAACAGAGATGTCGACCAATGGAATTGAATCGAAGACCCGGGTATTAACCCACAAACCTATGAACTCCTGATTTTCAACAAAGGAGCCAAAATTATACAATGGAAGAAAGAAAGCATCTTCAACAAATGAGGCTGAAATAACTGGATGTCAATCTGTAGAAGAATGAAAGTAGATCCATACCTATCACCATGCACAAAACTCAAGTCCAAATGGATTAAAGACCTCAATATAAATCCAACGACACTGAATCTGATAGAATAGAAATTGGGAAGTAGACTGTAACACATGAGTACAGGAGACCACTTCCTATGTATAACCCCAGTAGCACAGTCCATAAGAGCAACAATGAATAAATGGGACCTCCTGAAACTGAGAAGCTTCTGTAAAGCAAAGGACACTGTCATTAAGACAAAAAGGCATCCTACTGAATGGGAAAAAATCTTCACTAACCCCGCAACAGACAAAGGTCTGATCTCAAAAATATATAAAGAATTCAAGAAACTAGACTTTAAAATTCTAATTAACCTAATTAAAAATGGGGCACTGAACTGAACAGAGGATTCTCTACAGAAGAAGTTCAAATGGCCAAAAGACACTTAAGGTCATGTTCAACTTCCTTACTGATCAGGGAAATGCAAATCAAAACAACTCTGGGATATCATCTTACACCTGTCAGAATGGCTAAAATCAAAAACACCAATGATAGCCTATGCTGGAGAGGATGTGGAGTAAGAGAAACACTCATCCATTGCTGGTGGGAATGCAAACTTGTGTAAACTTTGGAAATCAGTGTGGAGAATTCTCAGGATATTCGGGATCAACCTACCCCAGGATCCAGCAATACCACTCTTGGGAATATACCCAAGAGATGCCCAGTCATACTACAAAAGCATTTGTTCAACTATGTTCATAGCAGCATTATTTGTAATAGCCAGAACCTAGAAACAATCTAGATGCCCTTCAATGGAAGTATGGATAAAGAAAGTGTGGAATATATATGCATTAGAGTACTACTCAGTGGTAAAAAACAATAATATCTTGAATTTTACATGCAAATGGATGGAAATAGAAAATACTATCCTGAGTGAGGTAACCCAAACCCGAAAAGATGATTATGGTATGTACTCACTCATTAGTGGACTCTAGCCATGAACAAAGGACATTAAGACTATAGTTCACAAGCCCAGAGAAGCCAAATAACAAGGTGAACCCAAAGAAAAACATATATAGATCCTCCTGGAAATTGGAAGCAAACAAGATCATCGGCAATAGTTGGAAGCATAGGAGTGGGAGTGGGGAAGAGGGGGAGAGAGAAGGGAGAAGGGAAAGACTGGGGAGAGCTTGGGGGAGTGGGAGGGTGGAGATGGAGGAAGGGAGGATATAGGAGGAGGGAAGAAGATATCTACATTAAGGGAGCCATTTTAGGGTTGGCAAGAGACTTGGCTCTAGAGGGGTTCCCTGGTGTCCAAGGGGATGTCCCCAGCTAGGTCCCTGGGCAGCAGAGGAGAGGGTACCTGAATTGTCCTTGCCCCACAATTACACTAATGATTATCTCGAATATCACCATAGACTCTTCATCTGGCAAAGGATGGAGATAGAGACAGAGACCCTCATCAGAGCATTGGACTGAGCTCCCAAGGTCCAGTTGAAGAGCAGAAGGAGGGAGAATATGAGCAAGGAAGACAGGACAGCGAGGGGTTGGTCCACCCACTGAGACAGTGTGCTTGTTCTAATGGGAGCTCACCAAATCCAGCTGGATTTGGACTGAACGAGCATGTGATCAAACCAGACTCTCTGAATGTGGCTGACAATGGGAGCTGACTGAGAAGCCATTGATAAAGGCACTGGGACTTGTTTCTACTGCATGTACTGGCTTTTTGGGACCCTAATCTATTTGGTTGCACAGTTTCCTAGGCCTGGATGAAGGGGCGGGGGCTTGGACTTCCCACAGGGCAGGAATCCCTGACTTCTCTTTAGGAAGGAGGGAGAGGGCAGAGGGTAAGTGGGGGAGCGGGAGGGGAATGGGAGGTGGGGAGGAAGTGCAAATTTTTGAATGGAAAAAAAAAGAAGAAACAGAATATAAAAACTGACACTACCAAGAAGACAAAAATTACATGGCATCAAACTCCAGTTTAAGAAATCAGTTTTATTGCCGAGTGGCAGTGGTGCATGCCTTTAATCCCAGCACAAGGGACATAGAGACAGGCAGAACCCTGTGAGTTCCAGGCCAGTCTGGTATATAAGAGCTAGTTCCAGAATAGCCAGAGCTGTTACACAGAGAAACCTTGTCTCAAAAAGAAGAGAAAGAAAGAAAGAAAGAAAGAAGAAAGAAAGAAAGAAAGAGAGAAAGAGTTTAGCACCAGTTTGAAAACTTAGAGAAAAGCAAGTGAGTCAAAGACTAACAAGCAGCAATGGAGCCGTACCTTGTGATGACGTGCAGAAACTGTGGCGTGAGAACTGCTTGCTGAGCCTTCTCAGGGTACCAATAGACTGACAATAACGCAACAGATTCCACAACCATGTACAGATAGCCCACATGAGGGAATGAGAAGAAACAGAAGAGACTCAGCAGCTCTTTTTCCTGAGATGAACCTTTTCCATCAGGAGGTAAACCTGCATTGGAAAAATGCAAGAGAGACATGCAATGAAGCCAGAAAATAAAAGGAGAGAATCAATATTGTGATTTTCCTATTCAAACTACAGTTTTGATGAGACTAGACTCTATCAGAGACTACAAGGTACTAAGGGGAAGTAGTCATTGAGAAATGTAAAAAGGAGGAGGTAATTAGGAAAACACCATTTTGCAACAAGTGAACTAAGTTACACTCATTGATGGCTTTAATACTGTAGTGTCCACCAGGAAACATGATGGGGGAAGCTTTGTTAACCAATCTTCTCTAAGAAGTAAAACCTAATTTAGGCGTGGCTACCTGGAGTTCAGGAATAAAAACTGGGATGGACTAGGTGCTCACTCTCTTTGAGTGACTGCTGCAGGACACAGCAGAGCTTGGACTTCCTATTCTTGTGGTGTGAGTTTCCCCTTAAAATAAGTAAAAATATAATTATTTATCTTCAAGCTGGCCTGGATATTTCACGAATCAAGTTAACATTTACAAAAGCAAGGGCTTTTCAAGAGACAGCAAAACTACCTGCACAATAATAATAATATCCTGATCAAGCCTAAATCTCCATCAACATGGTCAGTAAAACACAATTATTTGACATTTGTAACTTAAATTTTTCTAGCATTTCCAAAAAGAAAAAAGAAACAGGAATACTATCTATTAATTTAGCATATGTAAAACACTGCCATTTCAACAAACAATAAACAAAAAACAAAAGTTTTGTATATTGTTACTAAACATTCAAAATCTAGTCTGTGTTTTATATTTATAATATATCTCAGTTTCTTTTACCTATATTTCAAATGCTTAAGGGCAACTTATAGCTAATAATGTACTGAAAAGCATGAATTAAGATCTAATAACTAACTCACTTAAGAAAGTGGGTACAACAGGAACCTGATAAATGATACTGTGAAGAGTCCAATCAGCAAAATTCAGATTAGAGGAAGCTTTGCAGTAAATGTCCAATTTCATGCTACAGAAATACAAAAATAGAAAGAGAAGGCTGATCCCATATAAGACACAGAAATCAATCAAGATGTATAAATCTAACCTGTTTATGTACTTCATTCAAACAAATGAACTTTTTCCTTTACAGGAAAAAATCTTTAGAAGATGAGGAAAGTGTGTACCCTGAAAAGAGACCTGATGACATTGTAAAATTTTTACATAAGAAATATTTTGAATTTGTTAAAATAAAACATACTCAGATCCTGTTTAGAGAAATATTGATAGAGAAAAGGTATAGGTGTTAAAATACTCATCAAAATAAACAAGAATGGACTGGGATATTGCCACGTGTAAGTTGTAGCCTTGGATATAGTGGTTTATGGTACCATTTTCTGACTATCAAAATAAGTTTCATATTTTTATAATCAAAGTTTTTTTCTAAAGTCTTCTTCCTCCTTCTATGATACCCATTGATACTGAAAGTCTAATTCTCCACTTTCTACACCTAGCCCAAAATCATCTCCATTTCTTCTTTCTGGTATGCATATGAACTCTAGTTGAACAGAACTAATCTCTACATACATGACAATGCTACAATTACATATGTTGCTTCCTCTTATAAAATACCTTACCCAATTCTTCAGCTTCTAAAACACCTACTCACCTAGGACCCAGTTCAAATATAAACCACACATCTACAGTCCTTTTTCCATACAAGAAATACTCCCTAGGAGCCTGCTGCAGTATTGTCATTCAAGGTTCTACAACGATGGCAATGCACAAAGCAAGGCAACTTGTTTCACAGAGCCCTCACATTCTAATGATAGGAGTTAGGACAGGTGAAATTACCGGGCACAAGTGAGAAGGAAGCACGGAGCATGCAATAAACCCCCTTAGGTTATTAGAGGGGGCGTTACAGGCCTGGGGAAATCAATGTGCAGGATGGCAATCCGGCTTTTAATAGCTGCCTAGCACAGGCACCCAGGAGGTTGACATGGCTTTGCCATTCGCAGATGATAGGGTTCACGCATGTGTGCAAGAGCTTATCTGAGTCATACATGGATGATGCAACCATGCATACACACATGTAATCCACAGGATGTGGGTCATGTGGGGCCCTTTAACATCCCACAGCATGTGGGAGCCATTAGGCACTTCTGTCCGAGTGCTTGTCTGCACCTGCATGACCTCTAGAACCTGGAAGTATCAGCGTTATGTGGTTGAAATCATTATATTCCACTTTTTTGTTTATTATAATAATTTGGGGAGTTTAATGGGTGGGAATGGGGTGTTGTCTCCTGTGACTGCTTCCTGCTGATTTTGTGAGCATAGGAGAGTTGAGATGCTTGACCATGTCTTGGGGTAGCTGATTACTTCTGTGTTTTTCCCGGCTCTGCAGAATGGGCTGGCTGGCAGCTTGGACCTTGCAAGATGCTGAAAAGGCAGAACATTATGTCTGGAAAAAATTTTAGATCCTGGTGATTAAGGGAGGAGAGTCCCAAGATGGAAGATACAGGGTTGAGGGGGTGGAGAAGGAAATTTTTCAGGGGTTCATGAGACCAGGAATGATAAGGGAAGAATTAAATGATACTTATTCTGGGCGAGTCTGGTACATTTAGATAGGTCCTTTTGGCTCCCTGGAGCTGTGTGGAGAAGTGAGTGTCAGGGTCAGTACAGGTGAAGGCAAAGATATTTTGAGATTGAGAGCTGAGAGAAATAGAGAAAAAGGCATCCTTGAGACCTAGAACTGAGAAGTGGGAGGTTCCTGGGGGGATAGTGGAAAGGAGTGTGTAAGGGTTAGGCACTACAGGACGAAGAGGGACCACCACGGAGTTAATGAGCCAGAGGTCTTGAACCAGGTGATAGGTTCCCTTAGGTTTTATAACAGCAAGTGTAGGAGTGTTAAAGGGAGAAGAGGTGGAGCGAAATAGCTTTTTACTTAGAAGCTCAGAGTGCCCTAAGTGCCCTACGGCTCTGGAGAGAGAAGGGAACTGAGCTTGGATAATGTACTTACTAGGATCTTGTAATTGGATAATGATGGGGGAATGGTGCTTAGCAACAGAAGGGTTTGGGGTGTCCCAGACTTGGGGGTTCACCTGAGAGGCTGGTAAAGGAAAAGACAAATTGGGACTGGGAGGTTGGGAAGAATAAGGAGGAGGAGGAGGGGAGTTACTGGTGAGTCTGAAGTAAGGTGAATAGAAGGAGCAAATGAAATGGATGCTCCTACTTTTGCTAAAAGATCTCTTCCCATAAGAGGTACTGGGCAGGCTGACAGGAATAAAAATGAATGAGTGGGATAAATACCCCTAAAAACACAGTTAAGTGATGGGGTCTTCTGAGGTAGATAAGGCTGTCCCCCTACCCAACAATAGGGAAACTAGAAGGAGAGATAGGCCCCCAGAATTCCCTCAATACCGAGTATGTAGCTCTGGTGTTTAAGAGAAAGAAGATTGACCATCCTGATACCCATGGCTGCCTGTTACAGATGACGGTTGTGGTTGGGACAAAGGAGCCTGGGCAGCCTCACTCATCTATGGCCAGATTTAGAAGGTCAACTTGTGAATTTTCTGGGTTTGCTATCTCCATGCCACTATGTGCATGAGGCTAACTGACTGCCCAATATATCCTTCCTTATGGCATCTTGGACAAGGTCTTGTGAGACCAAGATGAGGGTTAGGGCATGCTCAGGCCCAGTGACCAGTTCTACCACATTTGAAAAATGGGTCTGGCAGTTCTTGACTCCCAGGGGGCAAGGGAACATCACAGACAGCATCAATTAGGCAATCTGCCACCTCAGCTGGTGGGAGGGCCATGGCTAGCATGTGACAGTGATTGCTCACATGGTACACCTTAAAAGCCAACTCTAAGATTTCTGCCTGCAGGGTCAAGGGGCCTTTCTCCAAAAGTCTAAGTTTAGCCTCAATGTCAGGGTAGCACTGAGGGAAAAAAAATGAGTCATAAGTAACTGTCTGCCTTCCGTGCTTTCTGGATCTAAGTTGTATTGTAACAGAGCTTTAGTGGGGTGTTCCAAAAATGCAGAAGGATTTTCCTTCGTATCTTTTATGACCTCTGAGAGCTTATTATAGTTTACTGATTTGAGGGCAGCCTTGCAGAGACCTGCCAGGAGGTAAGTCAAAAACTGGTCCCTAGCTAAAATTCCTAAGGTTCCTGCTCAGGGACCACCTCTGCCCCCGGAGGGAGTGTTGCATGTGTTTGGTGAATCTCCTCTACATGTAGTCTGGCCTGCTCCCAAACTTGCCTGTGCTCTTCAGGAAGTAGGTTATTAGATAGGATCATATAGTTATCCTGAAAGGCAAGATTATAAGACTGGGTAATATATTGAAATTGCTTTATGAAAGTGGTAGAACTAGATGTATAGGACCATAGTTTTTGTTATATATGGGAGAGTTCTGAGAGGGAGACAGGAACGTGTACCCTAATCAATCCATCTACTTTGGTCACCTCTCACAACGGAAGAACTGCAGCCAGCTTGGCTTGGTCAGGGCTGGGTGACCAAGCAGCATGTGAGCATGTGAGAGGAGGGGTAAAGGTGGGTGCCAGAGCTGGGCGGCTGTTGCAGCTAGGCACTAAGAGGAAGAATGATCCAGTGGGGCTGATGGAGTAGTTATTGGGGGGAGAGAGAGAGCTGAAGAGCGAGTGAAGGGAGGTGGCAAGGCAGAGGGAAGTAAAGGAGTGGAAGTATCTGTCTGTTGAGGTGGGGAAGGTGTGGATTCCTTAGGGGGTCCAGAGCAGTAGCTGAAGGAACGGGAGTAGCTGCCCTCTGAGGTAAAAAAGACAGGAGTTTGTTAGCTGGGTCCAGAGCAGAAGCGGAAGTTTCTTCCGATGCAGACAGCATAGCCAGGAACATGTGAGCAGGCAAAGAACTTGCAAAGACAGAGGGCTTAGGGTTAGAGCTTAGACAGTAAAAGGCTTGGAAATAAAGACTCCTTCCATTTGCCTGTGCACTGACAATAGTTAGAAAGACCCCCTCCAGGATATTGAGATCAAAGGTGCCATTAGGTTGCCACTTTAGATTGTTATCTAAATTGTAACGAGGCCATTTTTTTAGAAAAAAGATGGACAAGTGTGGGTGTCTGTCAGTAGGACATTAAGGCCTGGGGCTTAAAGGCCTCTAAAAGGCATTCCAGGGGGCTAGCGGGATTGGTGGACTTAGATGGCTTGCTACCCATAGCTGAAACCACAAAAACCCATAAAACAGGGACACCACAAGGCTTATAATGGGACATCTCCCCCTATAGGCGGGGTGTAAATCAGTGGCAAAAACCACAGGTCCTGTAGGAGAGCATCCTCTGCCTACAGGTGAGGTGCTACAGCCTGATTGGATCTGGTCAGGGCAACTCAGAAGCCAGAGAGGCCAGAGGCTGCACTTAGCGGCCTTTCATGGTGTGGGGGGGAAAAAGATAAGAAAAAGAAAAAAAGAAAAAGAAGAATCTAGGGACCCTGGGTCCCCAGTCGCAGGAGGACTGACCCTGAATCGTCCAAACATGATTTTAGCTAAGGGATGCAATCCAGAGATGAATGTTAGTGAAGGGCTCAACTGCGGCCTTAAAGACCATGCACTCGGGAGGCAGAGGCAGGCGGATCTCTGTGAGTTCGAGACCAGCCTGGTCTACAAGAGCTAGTTCCAGGACAGGCTCCAAAACCACAGAGAAACCCTGACTAGAAAAACAAAAACAAAAAAACAAACAAACAAAAAGACCATGGTTGGGGGCTGTCCCCCCATTTCTAGGAACACCAGAAGATTTCCAGGAGCTCAATGGTCAATTCCTCTGGTTCAAAGAAACAGTTAAGCTGACCAGAATGGGGAAAGTTCACCACTTGAAGCTGGTGGTGTGCAGAGAAATCACACTCAAGAAAATGGAACACATGGTCGTTGTGGAAAAAATACCCAGCTCCGGATGCTGACCACGGGAGAGGGGCTTGGGGAGGAGAGTCTCCTGAGACTCACAGCACTCTGGCCCGAGTGAGAAGGAAACATGGAACATGCAACAAAACCGCTTAGGAGTTTACTAGAGGGGCGTTACAGGCCTGGGGAAGTCAGTGTGCAGAGAGAGAGGAAGATGGCGAGTCCAGCTTTTAAAAGCTGCCTAATGCATGTGCACAGGGGGGTTGACGTGGCTACGTCATACGCAGATGATGGGGTTCACGCATGAGTGCAAGGGCTTAACTGAGTTATACATGGATGATGTAACCGTGCATGCGCACAAGGGCTTAGCTGAATCATAAGTGGATGATGCAATCCATAGCACGTGGGTCATGTGGGGCCCTTTAGCATTCCCAGGGGCCATTAGGCACTTCTGTCAGAAGGCTTGTCTGCACCTACATGACCTCTAGAACCCAGAAGTAACAGCCTCATGAGGCTGAAATCATTATAACAGAGAACAAACAAGTAAATTAAAGTGAAGAGAGATTTTTGGATGGAGAGAGCCAAGGGTCTGAGTTAAGACTCAGCAGTTAAGAGCTCTTGATGCTCTTACAGATGGCCTGAGTTCAGCTCCAAGCAACAAAGTTGGGTGGCTCCTAACCACCTGTGACATCTTCATTGGCCTCTGGCAGTACTACACTCATATGCAAGCCAACATTCAGACACACACACACATACACACACACACACACACACACACACACACACACACAAAATTAAAATAACAGTAACTCAAACTGAGAAAACCAGGGAAATCCTCTGTGATAAGGTGACATTTGAGCTGTGCAATAAATGATGAAAATACACCACTCACATGGGATCAGAATAAAGCATATTCTAGGTCTAGATAGAAGAAATAATAGATTTTACAGAAAAGGATGTTTGGCATATCTGAGGAAGGCAGAAAGGCTACTGTTGATGGAGAACAGTAAGCAGGTCAGGCTGAGACAAAATGAATCCAGTGGTAGGTAACATTGGTCATGGAATAATTGGACTTTTTGTTCCAGCTGTTATGGGAAGTGCACTAAATGAAAGAGTTGACCCTCTGCCTGGCTACTGGTCCTGATCTCCGGCCGTGTATCACATCCCCCTTTCCTTTACTCTGCTTTGTTCTTGGCTCTTTCGGTTCCTCAAAAAGACTCTCTGCCAAGCTTTGGGGCTTCCTCTACTTAGAATATTCTCTTCTCCTCCCTTTGCTGAACCAAGACTCAGGAAGCACTTTCTCAGACACCAGGGAAAGTTGGGGTCTTTTACTACAGGCTTTGGCTACCAGGTTCCCTTCCCACAGTGTCTAACAATTTTAGTGTCTAATTTTACCAGAGGGCTCAGTTCCAAGAAGGCTGAATGGAATTGGCAGAGGAAAGGAGGAGGGAGACACAGTCTGAGGGTAAATTGGGATGGCTGCCAGCAGTGTTTATTGAAAAAAAGAATATCTTTTGTACCTAATAGTTTAGCCACGGGAAAGACGGAAAGCAGACTCAATGATTCAGGGACAGAAAGCCACCAATAACTTTAGAGCATTTTTCCTGGGACAAAAGCTAGTATCTAAATGTCTATTGTTCTTCAAGGTTCAGTAACTCTACCAGGAACCCTCAGCAAGGAAGGGCAACAAATTCATCCACCCAGAGATAAGGAGAATGACTGCTTTAACCAAGTAGGAACATTCCTCAAGGCCCAGAGGAAGTGGAGACCCTGATCCAAAAGCCTGACCTTGGGAAAGGACTTCCTCTGGGAACCAGACACTCCACTATAATTTAAGAGTATTTTCATTCCTCAAGGGGATAAGCACTAAGTTGTTTCCCAATTGTGTCCCTTTGTGTCTTAGTTTTATTGTGTGAGCCTGTTCCCCACATAAAGTCCAAAAGTGGAAGGTCCTGATAGATTGCTCTTTTCCCATTATACCTCACGACTGAGCTCTTGCCCTTAATGGCCTCAGGCTCTGGATCTGGATTTTAGGTGCTTCATACTTGGAATCAGGAGTGTCTAGTAAATCTCTAATTTTTCTGTTCTTGGTGTAATTAGAAGGGCACAATGGGATTCATTGTTCTTTGGTGACAGGAACTTTTTTTCCCAAAGATTTATTTTGTTTAAAGAGTCTGCTGTTTTATACATTTTTGTCCTTCAAAGCTCTCATAAAATTTTCCAAGGCATAAGGAAACTCTTAGAATACTGAGAACCATTAAAAATGAAAGTAAAAAGGTGCTGGAGAAGTGTGGTCTGCAATGTCAAAATGCGGAAACTTTGTCAAGCAGCAGTGGTGGTCATGTGGTCCACACCACAATGTTGTCAGTATTTGATGAGTATCTGCTTTTACCATTAGATAACTAATTTCATAAGTGCAAGCATGTTGCCTACTTTTGTCTAGTACTCAGATCAACAAAAGTAGCTACTTAATGCTTACTTAAAAAAAAAAAACAAAAAAAAAAAACCTGGGCTGGAGAGATGGCTCAGAGGTTAAGAGCATTGCCTGCTCTTCCAAAGGTCCTGAGTTCAATTCCCAGCAACCACATGGTGGCTCACAACCATCTGTAATGGTGTCTGGTGCCCTCTTCTGACCTGCAGGCATACACACAGAAGAATATTGTATACATAACAAATAAATAAATATTTAAAAAAAAAACCTCATAAAGACATTGGATTACAGCAACATTTATATTTTTTCAGAAACCATCTGAAGATGCTGAGCAAGTGCAGAGCCTCTGGTATCAATCTTGGTGCTCACTAGAAAAAGTTTTGGGTGCCAGAGTCCAAAACAGTCCAATTAAGTCAGAATGATAATCACCAGCATTATTTTAACAGGGGGTCTTAGATAGCCCCTTGCTAGCCTAGAACTCAGTAGCCAGATGGATGACCTTGAACTTCTGACCTTCCCTGCCTCGACCTCCCAAGTGCTGATATTGGGTGTGTATACCACCACGCCCTGTTTCTTCAGTGCTAGGAATCAAACCCAGATTTTATTCATGCTAGAAAAGCACTTGGTCAACTGAGCTATATCACCCATACCAGTATTTTAAGTATAAGTAAATACAATGTACAGCAGTGTCGAAAACTAGTACTCTGAATGAGTTTCCACTCAGACCAGGTTTTCCCACTTTGCTTACAACACCAACGCCATCCTACAAAAGTCTGTGCCATACTCAGCAGGAACCTAGATAAGACCTATCCTCCAACAGTGCTCACAAATTTCTTTTACTGGGTCCACAGACTATGTCAAAACCAAAACAAACAATCAAAGAAACCAAAGAACGGAGGTTTTTCTGGTCACACCCTCCTAGTGTCTTCACTTCTCTTCACCAATAAAATTTTGCTTTCCCCAGGAAGTCTCAGCAGAAGAAGCAAATCTAATGTCTTCACACTGAACTTCCCCAAGTCCAGGCCCTTGTCAAACCTCTCTGCACTCAGCCATACTTACCTGTTTGGTGAATAGGTAGCAGTTGAAGGGAATGTAACTTGATGTTATCAGACAAGACATAGAATGAAATATCAGGAGCAAAACGTCTGTGGGTTTAAGAAGAAAAAGAGGAGAGATCTAATTTCTATACACTTTAAGCAGGTACGTAAATATTAAATGCTGGTGAATAAAAGTTGCTCTCATACCTATATAGCAGGTGCTGAACATTTAAATATTTTGCTTTTTCATCTGCTAATCCTGTGGACTCCAGTTTAACAGATATTCCAGACTGTTCACACTTTTCACCAAGAAGCTCCATGGGTTTTAGGCAGATAACAAAATCTGATTCAAGCTGTGAAGTTTCATTACTGACATCTTAAAAAATAACATTTTAGAGTTTAACAACTATAAGTACTACCAGTCACCTGAATGAATATTAGACATGGCATGTGCCTTATGTTTCTACTGCTGTGATAAAACATTACGGCCAAAAGTCACTTGGATAGGAAAGGGTTTATTGTAGTTTATAACTCAGACCATACTCCACCCCTGCTGGAGTCAGGGCAGGAATTCAGGGTAGCAGCTGATTCGGATGCTATGGAGGAGGGCTGTTTACTGGCTTGCTCCACATGGCTTTCTCAGTCTGCTTTCTTATACACCCCACTACCACCTGCTCACAGGTGGCACCACCCACAATGGCTAGACCCTCTCACATCAATAATTTATCAATAATGCCCACCCTGAGAGGTTTGCCTACAAGTCAGTCTTGTGGAGACATCATTTCACTAAAGTTCACTCTTTAAAAATTCTAGCATGAGTCAAGTTGGGGAACAACAACAACAACAAAAAAAATGGCAACCAAAGCAAAGATATCTAATGTCATTTAATACCAAATACAAGACAAAAATTAGAAACTCATATAGGCCAGGTATAGGGACTCACAACTATAATGCCTATACGCAGGAGCCTGAGACAGGAGGATTCCTGATTTGAGGCAAACCTGAACCAAGTGAGTTCAGGTCAGTTGGAAACATATGGAGATGCTGTCTCAAAAAAAAAAAATGTTCTTCTTAGAAACCCTCATCTAATACAGTTGCTCCATTACAGACATATAACAAATACATGTAGAAACAAAATAAGCTATGAATAGTCACAAACCCAAAGCAATGTAATAAGAACACTCAAACCCGTTAGAAAAGTGGCAAACCATAGACACTGGGGTTCTTTAGAAAGTAAAAGTCATCATTTACCTTCTGTCTGTTGCAATTGGTTGTTGGTTTTTTGTGGGTGGTGTTTAACTTTCTCTCCATTTGTAGGGTCTGACTCCAGTTTCAGGATTAAGACTTCTAAGTCAGACATGACAGCGACATATCCAACACAAACAGAAATTTCAACAGGAGTGATATTATCTACGTGTATAATTAATGAACGTTCAAAGTCCGACACTGAGAACTCCTCATTAATGATCCAATACTTCAAAGTAAATAAGACTAACTTATTTGTGCAGCCAACAAGTAGATCTCCCTTCATAGGACAACATGAAATGCACAAAGGGTCCTCAGACAGTGGAATTTCAATTATAGACATCTGGTCTCTAAAGCTTTCACAGAAGGGCGCCTCCACATTGTGCCCAACCATTCGAATGCAGACACGGGAGTTTTCAGTCCTCTTACTCCTCCAATTCATGTAAGCACGCAGGAATGTAGCTTTGTTTTTCTCTTCAATTGCTACCAGATAGTCTCCTAAAAAGGAATCAAGATTGCATTTGAATTAGAATTTGAAATTCCACAGCTTAATTTGCTGCCTGAAAATGGAATACATAACATAACACAACACATGGATCACCGACTGGAAGGACCAGAGATGCCCTCTAAGGAACAGAGATATGTGTTAAGTTACAGCAGTCACTCAAGTTCATCCTTTTACTGCAGTTGGAAGCTCTATTGTCACAGCTGCAGCAATATTCATGTAACTTAGAAAATTCAGGTTTTAAAAGAATTAAGGGACTCTTGAGTTTAACAGAATTTACATTTGACATTTCCTTCCCTTTCTAGAGAAGTCACAACTCAGAAAAGTAAGAAAACTAGAGATACCAAATAAAATATTCAAGTCAATATTCTTTTAAGTATTGATTGTATGGGATTACTTTAACTGGTTAAGTACAAAATGAATGCATGTTACCCTCCCCCATCAGTTTCACCCTTAAGGACTAACATTCACAGTCTGGTGTGTGACCTTCCAAATACTTTCTTATAAACATGGATTACAACAAGGCTTTTTGTCTTTTTTATACATCACAACAATCTATATAACAATATGCCATTTTTAAATTCATGTTTAACTTAATAATCACATTTTTTGTAACAATACCTGCTTTATGAATTAACAACCTCAAGCATATAGGTTAGCAAGTTTCTTTAAGAAAAAAGGTTCAAGTAACTACACAGAGTAAACATAAAATAGAAATCACCTCCAATTATTTAAACAACAAATATATCTTTTCCCCCATGGTGATACACAGCTATCCACCACCCACCATCCCAACATAACATACAGACATGTGGATATCTATAAAATATGTTATAAACACATGTGCCATAAATATTTATTAGTTCACCTATTAATGTAGGGGGATTACCACTATATTTTGTAACAAATAAGCCTATATGTATATAATTTGTTTTTTGTCGGAAATTTATGTTTGGCTACAGACCAAGAGTATTTTAAGCTTTATTAGAAACTGTCAAGTTACCACCATAATTAGATAATGGAAGTTCACACTGCCAGCAAAGGTATTTACACATGCCTGTTTCCTACCATCTCAGGGTAAATAGGATATATCCAGTCTCACTTCAGACTCACTACATAGACCAGGATGTCCTCAGACTTGCCATGATCCTCCTGCCCTGGCCTTCTGAGTGCTTATGCCATCATACCTACCTACTTTGTGGTAATTTTATTTATTTATTTATTTATTTTTGGTTTTTCAAGACAGGGTTTCTCTGTGGCTTTGGAGCCTGTCCTGGCACTAGCTCTTGTAGACCAGACTGGTCTCGAACTCACAGAGATCCGCCTGCCTCTGCCTCCCGAGTGCTGGGATTAAAGGCGTGCGCCACCATCGCCCGGCCTTTGTGGTAATTTTAAAGTAAGGAACTATACTATGGGATTTGAGTGTATCACTGTGACTTTAATTTGCATTTCTCTGATGATTAGTGATGTAGAGCCTCTTTTTTGTGCTTTTGGACATTTGCATGCTTTCTTCAGAGAACTGTATATTCCAGTCCTTCGCTGTATATGCACTGCTAGGGATCAAACCCAGCACCTCATGTGTGCTAGGCAAGTGCTCTGTCAGTTGGCTATATACTCCAGTTCTGTTTGCTCATTACAAAAATAAATTAATGTGTTTTCCTCTCATCAAGTTAATTTATTATATATTTTAGACCTGTCTTTTATCAAATATATGATTTACAAATATTTTTTTAAATCCTTAGGATATCTCTTTCCATATATTGGTAGAATAGATACACAAAAATCTTTAATTTTGATGATGTCCAATTCAAAATTATTCTTTGGTTGCCTATAATTTTTTATATCACATTTACGTTAGAAAATAACATTTAAAAATAAGGACATTTGTTTAGTTACAACAAAATCTTTTAACTCATATACACTATAAATATATAATGTCCACATATGAAATGAGGTGTCTGTAAGTTGTAGGTCAAGTCCATATTGTATGATTTCAGATTGATGACTGGTTCTGTAAATGCTACCATAGCACTTGCTAAACAGGCCTACTTAACAAGCCTCATTAGCCAACCTATAATGTTCTCTGTAAATCTTTACAAAAGCCCTTCAGGATAAATATCTTTCTTCCAGTTTTGTAATTCAGCACTCTGATGCTCAGAGTATTATTAACAACTTGCCTAAGGCAACAGTCGACAAATGATGGACCATCATTTAGTCCAAAGACTTATGCTCATGCTGATAATGGTTCTACAAGGGTTCATATAACCTTTAAAGGGAGGGCCCAACCTAAAAAGAAATTATGTTCTTGGTACATCATTAAATATACAGGGTGAGGTGGGGGAGGGTCACTGGTTTAGTATACTTGTGCTAAAATGTTAAAGAATAACTTGTGTTGGTTCAATACATACAAGGAGAGTTGTGTGGTTTTCACTTTTTTGCCCCACCACCCACAAACACCTTATAAACACATGTCCCACAGCAGGGCCTTCAACACTGCACTGTTCACTGGGTCTCTCTTTGTCTGTTGGTTATCCTTCCTCTTCACATCATAAATGCAGCCTAAATTCTATTTCCATTATCCCTGATGATGCTAAAAGTTCAAAACTTACCTTCTAAATTGTTACCTACTTTTTCCCTATTTGATGTGGGAGTCCCCTCTGTATGCTGTCAATACCATTGGTAAATAAAGAAACTTCTTTGAGCCTATAGCAGAGGAGGGCAGAACAGAGCAAGGGTGGGGTGGGGGGAGGGGACTAAACTGAATGCTGGGAGAAAGAAGGCAGAGTCAGTGAGAAGCCATGTAGCCCTGTTGGAGCCAGATGGAACTTTAGCTGGTAAGCCACAGCCACGTGGCGGTACACAGATTACTAGAAATGGGTTAAATTAAGATGTGTGGTTATTTCAGGAGTTTAGGTGACCAGAAAACAAACAAGTGGCCAAGCATCCTCATACAATACGTAATGTTCTTGTAATCATTCATCATTTCAACTTGATTGAACTAAGAAAGACCTTAGAACACACCTCTGGTTGTTTCTTATGAGGACATTTCCAAAAGTAACTAGATCATGAGCACTGCCTTAATGAATGAATGCATTAATCCACTGGTAAATTTAAAATCTGGAGATCTTAATATGGTGACTGTAGAACTGTAGAAAGGAGTTTGGCTCAATAAAGGGGACATCTGGAAGGAAGATCACTGCTGAAGAGGGAGCTTCCAGAAACTCTGCTTTGCCCTAGTTCTTTCCTGTTACTGCTTCACTTTACTCTCTGGTCACCATGATGTGAGTTCTCCATAACAAAGTAGACTCACACCTCTCAAACTATGAGCAACATAAATCTATATTCTTTCAAATTGTTTATGTCAATTATGTTAAACTTCAGGAACCCCAGGAGTGACTTACATAGTGTACACATTTTACAGAAGGAGAACAGCATTTAACTGATTAGGAAGTGCATCTGATGGTTTTAGCACCAAGTGTATGTTGGCGGGGTAGGGGGTGAAGGGGAACTGTCAAAAAGACATGATCTGATCACTCAATTGTATGGTGAAGGGGAACAGTCAAAAAGACATGATCTGATCACTCAATTGTATGGTGAAGGGGAACAGTCAAAAAGACATGATCTGATCACTCAATTGTATGGTGAAGGGGAACAGTCAAAAAGACATGATCTGATCACTCAATTGTATGGTGAAGGGGAACAGTCAAAAAGACATGATCTGATCACTCAATTGTATGGTGAAGGGGAACAGTCAAAAAGACATGATCTGATCACTCAATTGTATGGTGAAGGGGAACTGTCAAAAAGACATGATCTGATCACTCAATTGTATGGTGAAGGGGAACTGTCAAAAAGACATGATCTGATCACTCAATTGTATGGTGAAGGGGAACTGTCAAAAAGACATGATCTGATCACTCAATTGTATGGTGAAGGGGAAAGTTTTATGACAATAAGAGAGAGAAAAGCTAGAAGATCTGAAAGAGTTGAGAGCAGAGAGAGAAAGAAGCAGACTAAACATACCCAGATGACTGGACATGGCCAGGGCTATCTGCAAGAGAGAGAATAGCAGGGGATAGGAAAATAGAGAGAGTAGTGAGAATAGCAAGAGCAGAGAATAATGAGAATAACCAGGTTCTAAGTAGGACGAGAGCAGCTGTGGTGAGGGAAGCCTGAGCTGAAAGGAGCTTAGGTTAGAGAAGGAGGTGAAGAAGGCTAAGACACTAACATGGACTCTGAAATATGTAACGGGTACTTGTGAGTAGGGACTGAGGGAGCCAAGAGGCTAACCTGGACCTTGATATGCTGACACATACCACAGGTAAATTGGAAAACCATAGATCCCTTTTGCTGGAGGTAAGGGAGATGACTCCTTTTGAACCAGCTTCACAAGTTCCTGAGGCATGTTAGCTTTTATCTCACTGCCAGAAATACCCCTATACTCCTCATTTCTGGATATTTGGACGGCTTTTTAGAGTTTTGGAATTGGGCCTGACAGTAAGAAAAAGAAAATGCTTTGTGCTTGGGTAGAAGATCTATAAAACATTATAGTAAATATAAATACGGAAATTTTTCTGATTTTTGACAAGGGTAGATTTGCTACAGCAGAGGACACTGAGCTAAGAATATAAATCCCCTGGTCCACGTACTGAGAATATGAACACAAAGCCAAAGGACAAGTTAAAGATAGGTTTTTCTGGACATAGGCACAGTCAGGAGTCAGTCTATTAATGTTTGGTCATGCATCGATTAAAAGAAGTTACACTCAAAGGTTCAACTGTGAACTGGAAGCTACCTTTGAGTTATATGGGCCGTGACGCTAATACCATCCCACATGACTCCTAAAGTTTTTTTAGGCAGCCAACTTAATTATAAAAGCATTTCTGTTCTTCAAGGTTTCATTAATGAGGTTATCACAGTTTAGTGCTAGCCTCCTGCAGTTGGTGTGGCTCAAGTCCTTAGTACACAAGCTGGCCAAGCATTTGATATCCTCCAGAAAAACTTCACTGTGTTTCTGAAGGTGTGGTCCAGGAATGAGAACATTCTTCTTCTTTTTTTTTTTATTCTTATAATTTATTCTAAATAGTTCTTAGGCAGAGCTACTGCAATGGAAGGAACCCAGGAATCAACAGTAATGACAGGCAAGAAAACCACCCATCACCCATTGCTTCAAATTTTAGAATAAAACTCCCTTTAAAAGAGTAAGGCAAATTGTGTAAATATACAGCCCATGTCTTTGTTTTACACACACACACACACACACACACACACACACACTTAAGAATTTGCAAAAGTCAAACCATCAATAAGTAATATATAGAAGGGCTGGCTATGATCTGGAATATTTTTTGAAGGAGAGCATACCGTGAACTCCAGGGTATCATTTTCCCTCTTCTTTTGTGTGAGGTTGGAGAATTTTTACATTCATATTTTTTTAAGGGTTTGGCATAAGTTGTACCCAGCTACAGGCCTTTAATTCAAGACGTCAGCATTTCCTTGCCCCTGCAGGCTGATGCCTATGTTGAGTGTTTTTTGTTTTGCTTCGAGACTAGATTATCTGTAGTTGAGGCTAGTCTGGAACTCACTAAATAACAAAGGACTTCCTTAAACTTCTGACACCGCCCCCCCCCCCCCCCCCCCCCCCCCCCCCCCGCCTCCACCTCCCAGATGCTGAGATTACTAGTTGAACAACCTCAGAGAGGAAGCTTAGACCCAAGGCTTCAGGCAAACTAGGCAAGCACTCCACCAGGGCGCTCCTGCCTATCTGTGGTTGCTATGACAACTGCACAAAGCGCCTTCAGCACTTAAATGCCTGACCCGCGGCAAGCAGCGGAGAAGCTCTAGCCCCTTCCCCACCCAGAGCCCCGCCCCAAAGCCGTTCCTCACCTACTTCACTGTAGGCCATACGCAACACCCTGCCCAGCGTGGAGAAGGCGCAGCGCAGCTGGCATGACTCTGCTCCCCGCACAGCGAACGCCTCCACCTTGCAGCCCGAAGCCACGAACAGCGCGTCCAGCCCGCCGCAGCAGATCTGCTCCGGCTCCCGCTGGCAGGGGACTACCCGCTGCGACCCAAAGGGGTGCAGGTTGTACAACTGCACCATCTTGGCAACTGAACAGCAGAGCGGCTTCCGCAAGCAAGCAAGCTGCTCCGGATCACGTGAGCGCTCTGCCCCCGCCCAGAGTTCGGCTGTGCGGGTGGAGTTAGGTGCACAGCAGTGGGCGAGTGCGGATACCTTGGGTTCTTCTCTTGAATTTTCACTTTACTGCTTCTGGCTGGACGGGTATCTGGAAGCTTGAATGTATTTCATTGGATCATGTGCTGGTTTGTGCCTGGATCAACTTCATGGTTTCACTCTTGTTTTCCCATAGCATTTGAGTTTCTGAAAGATGGAGCTGCAAAACCTGAAGTAGGTATATGCCTCCAAACTTAGATTGAACACGCCAGAGTTGATCTGAAATACTGTAGATTTTACAATGGTTTTGTTGGAAAGGGCAAATCCTTTAAGATGCTTAACAAAAAAAGATATGTATTGAATGAAAGAATCATGAACACTTTGCAGGCATTTCGCAAAACATTCCTCTAAATCGGCAGATAATAGAAGGGAAAGAGAAAAATGTCCCTGATGATCAGTCTAGTGTTCATAAATATACCCTGTATAGATGAAACTTGCAGTCTGAATTCCTTTATTTTGGGAGATTTAATAAACCAGATAGTATAATAATTATAACAATTCTAGAAAATGTGTATGTATGCATGCATGTATGCACGTATGTGTGTATGTATGTATTGATTGACTGAGGGCTGCTTTTTTGACATTGGGAAAAAATTGAAAAGAGCTAACTTCGCTTCCCATGTTGAACACCGTCGTGATTATTTCAGGGCTAAGCAGCCGGGAACAAACAAGAGGCCTCCTCCTACAACACTGCATTTGCTGGAGAAACTTGGGTGAATTATACAGGTATAAATAGTACACCAGGCTGACCATTGATGTTGTTAACCCTTCTGGAAATTGCTACAAATCTGGATCTATTTCCTCAGCAGCTTAAGGAGGGTAGGCTCTGTAGATGGGACAGGCTATGCAGGAAGGGCAAGCTCTGTTGAGAGAGCAGGCTTTCTAGTGGGGGTAGGCTCTGTGGGAAGTGCAGGCCCTGGATCTTGGAGTTTCTATTCTCAATTCTCTGTGTGAGCCAAACTCCAGGATATCTAAGCTGCATAATGTATTGAGAATGAATGGCACAAAATGACATGTATTTCTAATTTTTTTTAGTACTACATATCCTAAAAGAACTTTCTGGAAATGTAGGAAAGGTGGGTGTGGTGGTACAGTCCATTTGTATAATCCCAGCATTCAGGACGGTTAATCTAGTGGATCAGCCTGGGCTACTAAGCAACACCCTAGAAACAAAAATGAAACATTAACTTCATTGTAGAAGTCTCCTTCCTGAAGACTTTCTCAAAATGATGGGTAGTTTCCACAACACTGAGCAGTATCAACAGGTCCATGAGAAGGAACCAAGGTGCCTGCAAAACTTCAAGCCCCAGAACTGAGGTTTCCAGTCTCCTTTATTCATAGATATGGAAACTGATGGTGTGTGAAGTAACTACAGCTTCAAAGGGCTCCTCTATTTCCCTCTCTATACTCTCTTCACCCATTTAGTTTTTACTCTGCTAATTGGCGCAGAAAAGTCAGTCTTCTAATTTTATTGTCCTTAGGATTTAGAGGCTGTTACATCCAAAACCAGAAACAAACAAACAAAAATTTGGGACTAATGGCCAGCTCTGGTACCTATTAGCATACCAAAGGGCATGCTGACCTCCAGGCTTCCTCAGCATTGCAAATATCTGTTACAAAAGAGTTCAGACTGGCATCCTGTCTCTTTAACTGGGCCCACATCTTACACTAAACTTCTCCAGCTCATAGGCTTCCCTTCCCCCAGTTTCTGATTCCAGTATAATCCTGACACTTCTGCTATGCACTTGTTGCTCTCTCTCTTTTGTCTTCCTTCTCTCCACCCCCTTCGCCAAGTCTATTCTGCTGGTTGTGTTCAGTGCATGACATTCTCTCCCTTACCTTGACTTTTATATACAATAGGAACCTTTCTTTTAACCATACCTCGAAGCAGCCCTATTCTCACTTTATGTATCTGGTACTGAAACCTGGGATGGGGCATAAGTGGACCTCTTTCTAAGGGACCCAGTCTCCTAACTGAACCAAGTTGCTGATTTGACTCTCCTATGATATATATAACAACACACACATATATATCTTAGAAAGATACACACACATAAATCTTACAACACACATATATCTATATATACCTATAGATATAGGTATATATGTTGTAAGCCATGACTTCCCCACCATTATTCTGGGAATCTGAATTAGCTTAGGAACTTGCTAAGTCATCTTGGGTGCTGTTTCTTGAAAAGACTGTCTTTCCCTACCCTTGCTCTCTCTTCTTCTACAGGGTGTGAGCCCAGAGCTGCCTGTTTTGTCTATTACTATAAAAGCCACATCCACCACTATGTTAGGATACTCCTTTCACCCTCCTGGCCCCATCACATGGAAAAGGGATGTCTCTCCTCTGTGATTTGGGACATTTCTGACAGGTCTCTCAGTCTGCTTGGAGATGCTCTGGATTTGGAAAATCTTGTCATGAGGACCTTACCCTTCTCTCTCCCACTCTTTCCTCCTCCTTTTTCTTCTCCCCACATGTTTTCAACCCATTTCTAGAACTCCCTTACCTCTCCAAAAGAGCTGCCTACTCTGTCTTTTCCTGACACCCTCATGGGACTCTAAGTCCTACAGCTTCCTTATGTCCTTCTGGACCTATATGATATTGGAATCCTCACTCAGTTCTGTCTGCCACCCTTTTTCTTTTCCTCCTCAGTGTCAGAGATTTCATTAAACACTCACTATCTTACTGTTGATAGAGGTTTCTGTACTGCCTGATTGGTTCAGCCCCAGAGAAACACACAGAGGTCTACATTAATTATAAACTGGCTGGTCTATTAGCTCAGGCTTCTTATTAACTCTTACATCCTACATTAACCCATAATTCCTGTCTGTGTCAGCCACATGGTTTGGTACCTTTTATCAGTGAGATATTCTCATCTTGCTTCCTCTGCATCTTGGTTATGACTGCAGACTGAGTCTTTCCTCTTCCCAGACTTCCCCTGTTCTTGTCACCCCACCTCTACTTCCTGCCTGGTTGCCCTGCCAATACTTCCTGCCTGGCTACTGACCAATCAGAATTTTATTAAAATAACACAAGTGATAGAATACAAGACCATTGTCCCACAGTATCTAACTACAAATGGCTTGGCCTCTGTACAGCTCAATGGCCACAGATGTCACACCCAATTTTCAAATTCTCACAGATTATAACAACTTCTGAAACCAAACAACTATAGAGGGCATCTCCTCCTTGCTCATAACACCGTATGGCAGATGAGGGTCCGAGTCACATCTCTTGAGTGCTGCAGCTGCTGAGAGGTAGATGAAGTTCTCTTGCTCTCATGACCTCAGGGTGAGCTCTTCCACCCTGCCACAGGTGGCAAGGGGCTAAGAACACCACCTTGCAGACAAGGGACTTAGGGCCAGCTCTCCCACAATCACGGCCTGCCAGCAATGTCAGCACTATGGGGCTACCCAGGTGAGGTACAGGGTCTGCTCTCCTGTTGGGGCCTAAGGGCTCTGATAATTATTAAAATCAATACTAATTAACCAAGAAGAAACTATAGTCAGCATTAATTTTCCTTCACCTTTTTTATTCTTCCAGCATTTTCTCAAGGAATGTATGTATGTAAGAAAAAAGTTATAAATAACATTTTTTCTCTTTTCTTATTTTCAATGGTTCTCTTTCTGTATGTTTTTTGTGGGTATGTGAATGCATGTGTGATAAATATTTTGTTCATACATGCAGGGATATACATACTGAAGTTACAAGAAATTGTTGGGTGTCTTGCTCTATCACACTCTTCTGTATTTCCTTTAGATAATCTCAGCCCCAGAGAAGGCCACATATCTTATTTATTTTAGACATTTGGCAATAAATAGCATAATTAGAAAATTATATGGTAATTTGTAATGCATAGATACAATAGAAACACAAATATATTCATTTTCATATTGTAGACAAAGGCTACTCATTTGTTTTCTGGCTGCTCAGACCTGAATAATCACATAGAAACTGTATTAATTACAATACTGTTCATCTTATTAGCTCAGACTTATGAACTAACTCTTACATCTTAAATTAAACCATTTCTATCAGTCCGTGTACTGTCACAAAGCTGTGGCTTATGTAGGTATGGTTCTGGTGTCTGTTTCTTTTGACAGCAACATGACTCTGCTTTCTTTATATATCTCTGTTCTGATTTCCCACCTGCTCTACTCTGCTAAGACATTGGCCAAAACAGCTTTATTCATTATCCAATAAAAGCAACACATATACAGAAAGACATCTCACATTAGCATAAATTTGAGCAGTAGCTAAGAAGCATTGTTGTGGACATTTTGAGTACAGTATTCAGATGAATCCTCAGGTGATAATGTTGTCTATAGATGAATGATGGCAGCCTCTTTGGCAAAAGAAGCTTGTAGAGAGCTTCTTTTCTACATGATTACTTGAGTAAATACATTGGTTTTTTGGCTGAAAAATGATGTTGAAATTGACAGTTCGTTGCCTTTATTTGGGGGTTTATGTTTTTGTTTTAAGTAGAAAAAGATGCTAAGTCTTGAGAGAATCATGTTATACAGAATTTTATCTTTTAGTTTATTGAGCATGGCTTTATTAATTTTACATATAAAATGTAATAAACTGTGATTGATAATACATGCTACTGTGGAGGATGAGACTTCTGCCTCAGGGTCAAAGTTGACTTAGACTATAGATTTATTTTAAGGCAAAGCCTGGGCAACTTTTTTGAGTCCTTGTTACAAAGATATAAGTAAAATAAAGATTGAGAACATAGTTTTCTGGTAGAGAGCTTGCCTACACTGAATAGGCCTTAGGATTCAATATTTCCTACTTAAAAAAGTCCAAATGTTGCCCTTTGTACCATAATATATCATGAAGAGAGTACAATGTTTGAAAAAAATGTCATCATTATCTTCACTTTTCTTGTTGGA